GGCGGCATCGGCATCGGCATCGGCATTACTGGGAGGCAGCATTATCAAAGAGGCGGGCGTTGGGGTTCACGGTAACATTTTACCCGGGTTGATATGTGACCTGCGGCTGGGTGGGTGGTTGGTTGGTCGGCTGGCTGCATCCAATACCAGAGCGTACCTTGTAGGTTCAATGCTCAATACAATATCTATCGTTTATTCATCATGACTATCTGTCTTGTGTCATCAACTTAAACGCCAGCAAAACTCCCTGTCTGTTGTATCTAACCCATGTCGTGTCGCTAAATATCAGCTATCGTAAAACTCAACAAGCTACCAATCGATAACCCTGCAACGAGGCACAAGCCCATGAAGCCGCCGGCAACCTCACGCTCACCCTCGTCCACCCACTCACCCGACGCCATCATAAAGCTCGAGCCAAGCCAGCCATTGGTCACACCAAACGCCAGCTGGACGATAAAGAGATAAAAGAAGTCGCTTGAGACAATGGCGCCACGGCCGCCAATGTTGCAGAGCAGGTAGAGGGGTAGTATGCCGAAGCGGAGAACGGAGAGGCTGAAGAGGGCAAATGGCCGGTGCTGCAGGGTGAAGGGCATCATGGTTGCGATGCGGCCGCTAAGGTCACCGAGGTTCCAAAAGAAGAAGCCAAGTGGGATAAAGGCATTGGGTTGGAAGAGAGGACTGGAGCCTTCTTTGACGGAATGGATCTTGGTTGTGAAGACGGGCATGAACATTGTCGCGATAAAGGTGAGGGCCACGCCAATCGCGAGCCAGTGAAGCTTCTGAAAGAGGCGCCAGAGAGTTGTGACCTTGCGCGAGGCACGCTCAGCTTCCTCGACACTGTGCATGGATTCGGCCATTTGCTCAATCATGCGGTTCTCAATGATGTGGTTGTGACGACGGACCAGAGGGATGAAGGATAGCAGAGCGGCTACCGAGACAGCTACAGCTGTGAGGAAGTAGACAAAGGCAGAAGCCTGTCCATCCTCAGCAGAGGGCCCTTCATTCTGCTCCTTCTCAGCGGGAGGAAAGGCGAGGACGGTGATGACCTGCGCAATTGGCGGAAGCACGCCAGCAACACCCTGTCCTGCCATGATGGCCTGCATGTACTCTGGCCGGCCAAAGCTAGCAGCAAAAGCAAAGGCACCATTCTGGATAAGACCGGCAGCTGTGGCGGCGCCTGCAACCATGACGAGGAGGAAGACGAGATACACTACTGGTGATGCGCCAAGACCAAGAACGGTGGATGCCGTTAGTAGAGAAAAGGTAATGACGTTGATGATGAGAGCCAGGTTGATCCGGAAAGGGTACGAAGCCGAGTATTGAATGCTCGTGAGGACAATCATGGCGCCCAGGTTCGTTATGGTAGACACGGTCAAAATCGCAGACTGGAAATTGGCCTGGATCCAAGCATCACCAGCAAATCGTGAGGAAAAGTAAGGCGCCGCAGCGAGAAACATGTTCCTATGACGCTTTAGCAACTGAGTTTATAAGCTGAGGGGAATAGTACTCACCATGCCCACAGCATGGCAACGCCCAGCAGGGCGAATATGCTGTATTCCATCCATGAGAAGGGCAGATCGTGTTGGCCTTCTAGCTGGGTAGAGCCTTCGAGCGCGGTTGCTTCCTCGGCGCCGTTGAGAGGTTCATACTCTGAGGCCGAGGACGGTTGACGACCCAACGCCCTTCGAACGCGATCCATGACGTATAGTGTTTTCCAACGCCGTTGCTCGTGGGTTCTGTTCGTCCGCGACGCAGGATTATAGAGTTCTCGAGATTATCGTGATCGGTAAAGCCAAGACGAGTTCGAGGGATAATATCTTCGGATCGAGGTTCTTATGTCATGAGAGGTTCTCGTCGCGTTCCGTTCCTCTTGCGCTTGGTGGGTCTAGTCCTGAAGCCAACTCCGGACGAAAGGTCGCCTGACAAGCAGCCTGGTGATGAGCGGCACGTCTCCGTAGCCCGCGATATTCGGAGATGGACCGTGATGAATGGAGGACGGATCGTGGGGGAGGATGATGTGATGGGCAGCAACTGCCGGGGGATGAGGACCCGGGGCGTACGGAGACAGTATCGAGATAAGATAGATCGGGTCCGGGGTCGGAAGGGTCCATGTGCCCGACCGAGTCAGCTGGAGGCGGCGCGGGACGAGCGCTAAAAATGGGCATTGGGGAACTACCAACAGGGGTTGTTTCTCTGCCCCAAGCACAACTATCCACGGATGATATCCCATGGATAAACACAGTCTCTTATTAAAATCATGAAAGAATATTTTCAACAAGGACTCGGTGCTACTCCCGAAACACAAGCTCCCGTAATGTGTCATGATAATCTACCATCCCGCCTCAGTCCTACTCGAAACCGTCTCTTCCACCGCGTTACACAACATTCCCCAACACTACCACATCCCGATAAACCCAAACCACATGTCCAAGATCACGAGAGTTATCCAGCGACATTCTCCCACCGCGAGGCCTTCAACGAGGCATTTTTCGTCTTCTTTGCTCAGTCAAGACTAGTAAAGCCCACTAAGGAAGAGAGTCGTCCATACGGGGAACTATCCGTGAGGCCCATTCTGCGACCTCCACGTGATGGATGAGCTATGCGATGCAAGTATGTCATGCAGACTTTGTAAAAACGAGAAAGAGTGAAGAGAAAGTTGAGTTCTGACTGTTAGAGACATGGTGTTGTGGAACTTGTTGCTACCCTGGCTGACACTATCGTCATGTGAGAGGACTTGACGAAACTGTCTGTTCTATAGGTGCTAACCACCATCAACTAGTCTAACGGGCCATTTAGGGAGACGATATTGAAGGGGCAAGCTGGTTATTTGTCCACTTCCGTGTCTCTACATAAGTAAGGGCTAAGTACAGGGTGAGCCGAGTTCTCATAAAGACTGAGTATAAAGATGAGCGAAATAAATGAAAGGGGAGGGTCATTTTTTAGTTAGTCGGCTATAGAAGAGAATATCTTCCAGGTTTGATCAGGTATTAAGCTGATACTACAAGGTGATCCTGATTATTAGTGTCAAGAGTGTGCGATCTTTAGAACAGTTTGTGGATATTGACTATAGCATAGAGGCAATCACTCTGATGAAGCGTTTTGGCAGAGAGACATCTTTTGAAATCACCGTAAGAAACGTCCTCACACAAACCCCCATGTTTACCTACCGACCTGGTCAAAAATGTACGAAGGGGGGCGGTTCAGGGTGCCTACCCACCCAGGTATGTAGGTAAGTAAGGGGGATCTCCCCACCTATAAATGTACATGCAAGATCAGCAGCGTAGATGAATCTTTCATCTTCCATCATCATTTCGTTCTCTTCTTTTCTCTAAGGTACCTACCTAGGGCCCTACGCCGTGCTTTGTGTCGCCAGCAGTCCGGTGTATATGTTCGCGTGGTTGGTGACATCTGTGATCGCCAGCTGATCTGTTGCCCCCGCGAACAGGGCGAGTAGGTAGTTTGTGCGTTTGAGGATCCAACAGTTCGCTTCACGCCGTGGATGACTGAGGTGGGCAGTCACCATTACCACGACTCCTGTGAGTTGACTCTTTGTTTCCTGTCCGCTTACCCCCAAGATACCCCGTACTGATTTCCGTCTAGATCGTGGATGCTTTGATCTTTACTTGCTTTCCTTTTCTCTTTCTCGCTTGCGAGATCAATTGGAGACCTTGACGCTAGCTATGGACTTTGTAGCCATCGCCGTGTCCCAAGGACTCACCTCCTCGGGTCTGGGGATTTATCTTCCATGTGGCTTGCTGGGAGATCATCACCATCCTCTTCCAGCCTAACGTCTAACTCATCTTTTCGCTGTGCTTCTCTATGCCGGTCTAGTTCGAAAGCACTCTTAACTAGGGCTATAGATACAGCGGGATTATCCTTAGAATGCCTGATAACAAGAACTTTTCTATACTAGCCTACGTCGTAGACCCCCCCTATTCCTGGGTACGGCAGAGATCCTTATATAATAAATTCTATCTAGAGACTGTTCAACTTATCTTTTTGCTATGCTTCTTTATGCCGGCCTAGTTCAACAGCACTCTCGATTAGGGTCCTTTTCCAGAGGGCGTTGTTCAACATGCGTTCTGCAAGACGATTGACAAACATCGTCCGGTGTCAGGGGTTTTTATGAATTGGGTGATTATCTAGGGGGAAGAACTGCAATTTTATCTTTGGTTTGTTCCCAAGGATATCGCTAAGGCTCATCGAGTTTCTCGCCCCTTCTGTTAGTCGTTACAAAGACCCTCTGAGGCAATCAACAAGATATAACACTCCATCTATCCGTTGCCATTCTCCCGTCGCTTCCATATGCCGAGCATTGGTTTATATAAAATCATAAGAGTAATGGCAATGACTGCCGTTAGCATGAACCATGGCGCTGGCGTCAAACAGGTATGATAAATGGGTTTCCAAAGAGATAATCCCTAACCCTACAAACCCATGATGTCCCCTGAAGCACATTTGAAAGACCAGGAAATCCTACAATGTACCTGGCCAATGTTTCCAACCAAGGTTGGCTCAACGTCGAGTACAAGTGTCTATCGTGATGTCAGCTCATGTTATCCTGCCGTGGGAGTAGTAAATACTCGATGTCCTAATTGTACTATTAAGCATACTTCAAGTTAGCCATCCACACCAAATCCTTACTAAAACATATACATAAGTTTAGCAAGTAACAATCTTAACATGCAAGAAGATTACCAAAAATGAACCGAAACTTTGATATAGTTTCTTGTAATGATTCGTCAAGTCTTGTTTTAATATCCGCTCCCGTCTCAATCTACCCGTAACCATCTAATAGCCCATTTCGCTGATCTCACAACTCCACATCTCTCCGGTTCTGGATGTTGACAACAAATCCCAGCTGCCCTGGCTGGTGGTGCAGTCCTCTCACCAAATCTGAAGCCCAATCATCTTCGTGGCTGTGGTTCACCATCAACATTGTTGGCGGCGTCTCACCCATACTGTCGTGAAGGGTGTCCATCTCCGTGACAGGCAATCCTCTACTCTTCAATGTTCCCCTCGAGCATCGAAACCAGCGCTCTGGTGTTGGATGTGCTCCCTTGATGTGGATACACCAACCCGTCTATTCTGACAGCGATCTGACCTCGCATCCTCCTTTTGAGAGCTGCCAATGCTCTGGCATAGTCAAGAGTCGATTGGCCCAGCACTCTCTTGTCAACACCCACGTGTCTAAATTTTGCTTGGGCGATTCCGCTCCAGGGGAATGTCTGAGCTGTAGAAGAGGAGTTGGTCACTTCGCCCATCGAGATCCTTAGTTGTTCGTTGAAGCGCCCAACCATCAACCATGATCTCACAGAGGCAGAGCGGGCCACAGATAGGACATCGATGGATCCCCGGCGGCCGATGTAGCTCGATGTTGCTCCTCGCCGAACCAAAAACTTGACGGCCTCAAGCCTACCACAGGCACTGGCTATCATGAGAGCAGAGCCGAGAGGACATCCCTCAAAGTTGATTTCTGCATCCAAAGACAAACAATTTTCCATTATGGTGATTAGGTCCTGCGAGGCTGCTCTGCAGAGAGGGCTCCATCCACGATCCGGCTCGAGATTGAGCCATCTTTTTAGTGATTCGCGAGGAAACCGACGCTGCAGTTGGTGAAAAGTCTTGTTGAGGAAGGGCAGCCTTCCGAAACTCTGGCGGGTTTCCGCGTACCATGCAAAAGGGCCCATATCTTCAAGTGAGAATTCCGAGTTGAGAATGAAGCTCTGGCCAACGCTTGTTCTTTGAAACAGATCCATGAGGGCGCCATCCTCGCGCCGGTGCACGAAAGAGGCAAGGCCATTAGCTTCCAGGGCCAAGACTGACATTAAGTACTCCCGAGGCATGTCTCTTGGAGAAAGATCTGAGGGGCGCTCTAGAATATCTGAGGCTTGAAGTCTTATGTATTCCGGCGAGTTGGTGAGGCAGATGTTGGTCAAGTTGGCGAGTTGAGCCCCCCAGAGAAAATACAGTCCGTGAATGGTGTTTGTGAGAATGGGAGCTGGCGATGCCACTGACTTGAAGAGGAACGCCGCCGTTTCTCTGTCGAGAGCTCCATCCAATGGACTTGCCCCATCTTCATCAATGGAATCGACGTTTGCCCCATACTGGACCAGAAGTTTGGCGATTGTTGTACTTTCATTTCTTACCGCGCAGTGCAACGCCGTCATCATCGTTGGTTTGTTCCGCATAAAAAATGAATAGAGAAGATTTACTATCTGGACGACGACCTTTTCAGACGGAACTTGGTTCATATGGCTAGAGGGTGTGTCAGTCAACTTGATAGACGCAATGGCATCTTTCTCACTCACCCAATCCTGCCTGAATTTTCCAACAGATGCTCCAGTATAAGCCGTACGCCCTCCTCGTTTCTTGCACCCACGGCATGCCAAAGTGGACAGGCGAATCCATGCATGCTATCCCCTTCTTCAAGGTGGCGAGAGAGGAGCGATGGGAGGATTAAAACAAGCTCACGTCTACTCGAGGCGTAGTTCAACGCGCCACTATAGAAGTGGTTCTCTTGGATAAAGGGGACCAGTGTGCTCGCATTGCGCTCGATGAAAAGTTGGGCTATACCTTCTTGACCTTTGATCAAGGCATACGACAAGGGAGAGCAAAAACCAGTGCCAAGGATGCCCTCGTCGAGCGGGCAGCCATCGTCCAGACAGGTCCTGCATGCGGCGAGATCGCCGGCTTCAATAGCTTCCTTCATTCTCTTGCGCCGAGTCCTTGCACGGATTATCTTGGCCTGTTGTTCTGAGTGGTTGAGATCCTGGAATGCTCCATCAAGGAATTGGACGATTTTGTGGTGGCCTTGAAATTCGGCGCACATTCTGGGGCTCAACCCGTTGACATTAATTGAGTTTGAAGCATCAAGCCTTACCAAGGCTTTTGTGGCCTCAAGATGACCTGCATGGGCCGCGAAGTGAAGCGGAGTGTAGTTGGCGGTGCTGGCCATGACGTTGACCCCTGAGCCCTTCAATACGAGATAGTCGATGATGTCCGCACTGCCACTTATTGCAGCAAAGTGCAAAGGGGTATGGCCAGTAGACTCGACTGTTTCAAGCCCGATAAGCCCTTCTTCGATGAAGAACTTGGTGCATTCCAGGTGGCCAAGATAGCAAGCATAATGGAGATTGGTTCCTTCCCAGTAAACTCCATTCACTTTCCAGTGATACGACTTCGTCCAATCGATCTTGCCATTACCTGCCCGTGAATAGTCGAGTATGGCTTCAAGAAGTGCCATATTAACTCGCATCGTCGCAAAGTAAATTGCATCATAGACGCTGCCGAGCGAAGGGTCAGCACCCATCTGAAGCAGAGAGGTTGCACAGTAAGACGAATCGGCCCACACATGATATGCAATCGGCGGCACTCGTAACCCGGGGTCCAACGATGGGTTCATCGCATTGATGTCTGCCCCCTTTGCGACAAGTTCCCTGATTAGCCAGCCAAGGCCTGGCTCGTCCGATGAGGAGGCGACTCGATGCAGCAAACTCAACATTTGTGGACCAGGGGGAAACTCCCTCAATCTCTCTGAGTTAGAATGATTTAAAAGAGACTGAAGGAAAGCCTTGCCGCTGCCTGTTTTGCACAACCCCACAACCAACGGCGGTGTACATGCATGCTCAATGGCTGTAGTTCCGTCTACTCGCCGATGGACATCTAGTCCGTGTCTGAGCAAGAGCTGAGCATGGGCGAGTTGAGCATGGGCGAGTTGAGCATGGTCAAGTTGAGCATGGGCAAGCTGGCCACCTTCAACAGCTTGCTTGAAAAAGCGGACAACGATCTCCTCTTCTGGATCCCAGAAACGTGAAGCGAGTATTGCCTTGTCAAGCGTGTCATCCGACACAATTACCGCAATGTTGTTGAGCCAGTAATTGGCCGGAGTCAAAGCTGATAGCAAAGGATAGAGGCCGCATTGTCCAACTGCATCCTCGAATGCCTCCATGGCTCCACAGGACAAGAGGTCTGCCCATATTCTATCCAACACTCGCCAACCTCCCTTACAAAACATGTCCTTTTTTTCGCCCCAATCCCCAACTTGCAGTTGAAGTCTACATGCGAACTCCCACGGTGTGGTCCCTTGGTGGCTCGATTTGAAAGTGTCGGAGGAGGCGAGGACTTGGATGATGTCCTTCAAGTTTTCTGGGCATTTCCCGGCCCGGAGGATTGCCTCAAAATATGTCTCAATAGGTAATTTGCCTTCAAATCTGGCGGCGCATGCGCTTGGATAGCTTTTCTTCAACGTCTCTGCCCACTCAATGGAAGTCTCTGGCCCAAGCTCATGCAATGGTGTTGCTTGCCCGGGTATCAAAGCATCCAGCTCAAGCCCCAATTCTTTCAGCTTTTCGAACACTTTACTTGAAGCAAATTTGAACACCGTTGGGAATAGAGGATTGTGCTGAAGCCAAAAGTCTGGTACTTGGTTACAGTAATCAATGAACATGAGGGCCCTCCACTCGCAATTCTCGCGGTCTTCGTTGGTGGCACGCTTCTGGCGCGATAGGGCTATCATCAAAGGTGTTTGCCCAGCTTTGTTGCGCGTCAACAATGCCTTCCAAGTGTCATCTTTGCTCAAGTTGAAAAGCACGTCCAGGAACGATGCTGTCCACATCTTTTGGGCGCTGTAGTGCCAGAGGTTGTTTCCATCTCCATCCTCGGCGAGAAGAGAAACATTGAACTTGGCAAGAAGTCTGAGAGTTCTCCCATCTCCATGACGACAACAGTGATGGACCGCGACCCGCCCATGGTCATCTTTGCTGCATGGGTCACCCCCCAATGCCAGGAGTTGATCGGCACAGGCTGGGGAATTCTCCCTAACAGCAAAGTATAGGAGGGTTCCGTGGAAGTTGCCGTAGGAGTAAGAATTGTGGACATCAACACGTCCATCGTCCAGGTACGACCGCAGGGCATTGAAATCATCCTTTCGAATGGCAACCATGGTTTTTTCGACTAAGGCCTCATACGAGAGAGAGATGCGGCTGTCTGTAAGAGTTGGGTCGCTCGTAAAAGCTAAATCCAACTTGGAACAGGTAGACCACAAGGCCCTCCCGAGCCGAAAACCCCAATCAGTGCTGTACGCAGGAGACTCTTTGAGATATCGGATCAGGTTCAAGAGAGGAGCTTCCAGCTCACGAGGGTGACTAGTCCGAGCCCACGCCTTCAAATAAGCCTCGAAGTCATCTATCTCGGAGTATGTCGGGTTGATGCATTGGTCTAGCAGCTGGATGGTTGGACCAAAATCCTTAACGAGACTGCCAATGATTGACGTGGTGAGAAATAGTGGCCGGCTCATGTAAAGCTCGGAAAGCTTCACAAAGGATGCTCCGGCTTCAATGAGGCAGCTGATTGTGCGGTTTCGACGAGAGGAGCAAGGCAAAAAGTACCTGAGAAAAGGCCATTGGCAGTCGGGGAAATCAATTGTCTCATCCTTCAAGGCGAACAATGAAAACTCGGCAAGGAGAAGTGGCGTGCCCATATCGCACACTTCATTGACATTGGCGCCCTCTCCAATAAGGAATGAGCAGATCTCTGGCAGATTCAAAGCAGCTGCAACGTGCAAGGGCCGCAGCTTCTGATCAGTGGAGACGTTTCGAACGCGAAGCGAGTATTTCGACGGATTTTGTTGGTAATTCGCATCACTGTAGTAGAGGAAATTGAAAGTTCCTCTTAGAAATAAGTCAACCCAGCCACGAAAGTTCTGGGCAACTGAGGGATGGAACAGAGATTTTGCCGCACTTAACAGTGAGGAATCACCGAGTCCCTCTCTTGCAAGATCTGGCCAGTAGATTGCTGCGGATTCGTAGAACGGGTAGGATTGGAACTGCTCGTCTCTGAACTGCTCCCATTCAATAGAACATGGGGGGATGTAGTTGAAATTATCCAACTGTAGAAATTTGAGACATTGTGTGGCCAGCACTTGGCTGTCCTCCCGTCTGGTTAGTCTGTATGCCTCCAAACCAGGGGTTTTCGACAGGAGATCATCTTGGAGGAATTCTAGCACTGAAAAGTGTGCAAACTCTAAGGATTCTCCGTCAGGAGACTTTCGTATCAAGCTGCTACAGCCTAGGACGATATCTCTCTCCGATACGGTGTTGGTTTCGTCGACGCGCGCCTGTGGGGTTGAGACTGCCTGGCACAGTTCTTTGATGGATAACGTTACCGGGAAGAAGGCAATGAACTGAAGAGACATCTGCACCATTCGTTGAACACGAGGTGGCCGCCTGTTCAGCCGCTCGAGAAGGCGGCGGTAGCTATCAGGCAATGTCGGTGGCAGTTCCTTGAGTGCGTTGAGGCGATCAGCATCCGTGGCAAACTCGCAGAGGTAGTCGAGTTGGCAAACAACCCATCGGAACCTTGATTCAGTCGTCAGAAGGTCAAGATCAACCAAGACGCAATAGCAAAGATGACTCACATTCCGTTGGCTCGCGTGATAAGTTCCTCAGCAATATCGTCCTTGATCTTCAAGTTGTTGACCTTGAGCCGGCTATTCTGGATCCTATGCTCCATCTCGGCTCGAACGAATAGCTCAATATCTTCTGTGTGAGCTTCAATGGAAATCTCTTCAAAGTCTTCGTGAAGCCACGTGCGGATGTTGAGTTCGTCACGACTAAACAAGGCGAGACTGGTGCTGGTGGTGCTCACGGCCAACTCTGAAATGCTCTCGAGCACAGAGTCGGTGTTTTCGCCGCACTCGTCGAGTCCATCAATTATCACAGTGACCTGCTTGAACAGTTGAGACATCTTTGCGATGATTGCTCTGAGTTCATCCACATCTGCCACCCTGTCCAGCGCTCGGGCTGGATGGAGTTCTTGGTAGTAATCCTGAAGCAGGTCGAAGGCGTCATCATTTTGCCGGGCGATCTGCGATGCAAGGGCACCGATGATGTTCAAAGGCAAAAGAGTAGCTGGGTTCTTGTAGTCGCAGAAAAAGAAGGCAACGGCAGTGTCAGGTGACCCGATGGAAAGAGCTTCTTGGACAACGGCACCAGCAAGAACGGTCTTACCGCCCCCTGGGATGCCATTCAGCCACAGTCTTGAGCCAGGTGTATCCAGCCACGCCCTGAAGGCATGTGATGTGGTCAACCAACTGCCTGTGGTGGGATGTCGTAGTTTGATGCTTTGGGACAGGTTGGACTTTGGGTTGGCGTCTGGTTTCATAAAGAAGTCAAGGATGAGCCTCTTCCTGACATCCACCTCGTCTCTCTGAAGAATGTGAATAACATCGTCTAACTTTTTGTCGAGCTTTAGGTCAAGATCCGCTTGGTTCGTGAGGAAGATCTGTAGTTTACGCATCGTGTCGGCCGTGGTGGCCAGAGTCAACGTCTCTTTGCAGCGAGAGATGTCGGACAACAAGTCCTTGGTCTCGGAAGCTGAAAAGGGCCACTTCAGTCTTCGAGTTATTCCTTCCCACTTGGTCTTGTTATCAAAGTCATCTGCAGCTTTCTTGACCCTGTTGCGTAATGTTTCGAGAGTCTGTTTGCAGTGGGTGAGATGCTGCATCCTCAGAGTCGGCTCAAAGGAAGCCTCAGCCTCCAACTCGCTCGCAAGGGCGTGAAGACCCCGAAGAACTGCGGAGAGCCCATTGATTTCGGTAGAAAGGGCTTCGACTTCCTTTTTGGCGTTCACTGCCCCGCGGGCGTATTTGAAGACATATCGGAATACCGTGTCGGCAAGGCTCATGAGACCAGCGATGCTAGCTGCCGTGGAAAGTGGATCGCCCATGGCGGCTCAAGGTAGGAATACTCTCTAGTCTTACCCGCCTTTCTTGCTTCATTCCTTTTTCAAGTATCAAGGTATAAAGTATGGAACTGGCTGGGTCGACTGAGGGTGATGTAACAAGGTCTCTGCCACGGATCGGGCCAACAAGTAAGCATCTTATGTAGGAAATAATGCTGGCTAACGGTGCCCAAGATCTCAGTTAACCTTGGCTATGGGGCGCAGGTCTCCCCTTGTAACTAGCTAAAAGTACAAGAATATGCAGGCTGGTGAGGCAGATTCCTCGTTGGTTGAGCCTACCAGGGTACCAAATCAGGCTGGCGGCAAACACCAGATGCGCATGATGCTCGCTGAATAGCTGTGCAAGAACGAAAAGCAACAATTTGGATCAGGATATACTGTTTACGCTTCAATCTAAATTGAAAGACATAGAAATTTGGTTTTCGTAATAGATCGCGTCTCGTCTAGCGCCCAATCTCCATGGTGCTCGTTACTTGGGGTATGCTTGGCATGGGAGGCACTGCTCACAGCCTGCCTACAGAATAAGGCGTACCGACTAGAGCACCGCCATTCACCATCATAAGGCGTCCGGGAATGCCTTATGCTTCCGTAGTCGGTGACGCCTCTTTCTTCTCGTTTAACGGCTTCTGTCCCCAGACCGTTGCCCTGCTCACGTTAGTAAAAGTAGCTACATTATGAAACTGCCCACTTACACTTCAGCATAAGAATGAATCGACTTGTCCCGGAGAGCCTTGCGCGTTTTGGCCAGGAAGACCTGCACCTCGGAAACCTCCCACCCCATGACCTGCGTCAGCAGGAATAACACGTAGCCCTCGAGGCTGTTCTCGGTGATGAGTAGGTTGCAGTGCCCAATCTCCTTCCACTTCTTGTCGGCCGCCCAGCCACCTGTCGGGAGCTTGAAACGGTGCTCGTTGACGGCCGTGAACCCTGTATCCTTGAGCCATTGCAGGCTCTGTCCGTCCTCGATGATCTTGAAGCTGCGGCCCATCCTCTCGCCCGCCTTTTGGAAGAGGTCCCCCCAGCCATTTAGTGGAGAGTCTTCGGGGATACTGTTGTCATCGGAGCGCACGTCGATCGAGTAGTCCAAGTGTTCGAACCAGCCGCCGGGCTTGAGGCAACGGTATATTTCCTTGTATAGAGCAGGCCAGTCCTTGATCGCGCCCATTAGGACTCGGATGTGGACGTAGTCAAAATGGTTATCGGGATACGGCCAAGGGAGTTGAGCGTCGTCGAGTTCGAACTTGCAGTTGGGAGGGACCTGTAATTGTTAGAGGCTGGAACGAAATAGATACAGGTCGACAAACCCATGGTGGTTGAATTGGCGAGAGGTCAGTTCCAATCACTTCGGCAGAGGGAAACTGGTCAGCAAAGTCGCTACAGCTGTCAGCATCGTCCAGGCATCATCAAAGGCCCATACATTGCCCAAATGCCAGTCCCTGTTCCGATATCAATGACTCTCTGCGGGTTATCTCCAATTGGCGCTAGAAATAGCTTGTTGTCCAAGGCCAAGTAGAGCATATGATGGCTGTAAAAGTCAGACAGTGAAATGGAACCCGTAACTGAGCTACAAACCTGAGCTCGAGCCCTTCATTCTGTCTGTCATCATTGGGCCCCCTTCAAAAGATTAGCAATGGTTAGTCACATGGAAGCTGTTGTCGCACCAATATTCTGTTCCTGTGTTAAAGTTCTGATAGGTTCTGCCGTGAAGCTTGCGGTATTCGAGGATGCTCTCGCTTATCGAAGTGGTGGAGCTTGCGCTGAAGATCGTCAACTCTATATCTTGAACTCAGAGGTCATGCTCACGTCTCGCTGCCAACAGAAGAGTCATTCTCGTCGGGCTCGATCCACTCAGGATCCTGTTTCTGGTCAGATTCACGTCTACATCCTCTTCGACACATCTCTCGACACGTACAACGTTGAGCTGCTGAGGGCTGGGGGTGCGCTCTGCTTGTGCCATGGTCACAGTTGCAAAGATCTGCGTGTCGAACCCCTCAATAGAGAACCGTCAGGCTGGGAAGACGCCTTTATTATGTGCAGCCGAGGTGGAGCTGGTGGACAGACCTCAGGCGTTGTATGGCCAGGGTCGTCCCATGTGCTTGGCCCAACACCTGCCAAAGACGGAGGTGGACAAGGCTCTTGACGGCTGGGTGGCTTGGCACAAAGAGCTTTATCGGGGAGTCCAGCCTCCAGGCTCTCTAACTGAATTCTGGAACGGTGCTAGCTCTATCAATGATGAAATCATGACAGTCTAGCTCGACTGAGGGTGAGAGTTCATTCCTCTAAGACTTGGCGCGCTCACGAGCATCAACCGTGTCGATTTGAACTCCAGAACCATCATACCATAGCTATATCTCGTGATCGACAGCCGGACCTGTCAAAGGCGTGGCACTCCAGCGCCGTTGAACCCAAATGCGGGAATTCCCGCAAGCGGTGCGGCGCCAACGTTGACGATGGCCTCTTGGTCCAGTCATAATGCCCCAAGACTGACGGAGAGGATCCCGTTAACAGTGATAGCGCAAGACGGGAATAAGCACGATGGTTCCCCGGGCCGGGGGTGGTGATGGTAGTGGAGACGCTTGAGATTGGATTGCGGCACGAACAAGAGGGGAACCACGTCAGCTCAGTTGTGGATGATTGCCCTTTCAGTTGTGTGACGGCTGTGTGATTTCTGTCGAGTTGCTTGAAGGCTGGGTCTGAATACCGCCTTGACCTTCTGGATGTCGCTGACAATGGGCCGGGGGTTGATTTTGGCAAGACGCGAGTACCAGGGTATCACTACACAAACAAGCTACATATAATAGATTGAGCACGAGCATTGCAATCTCTCCAGCTGCTACAGTTTCCAATCCAAACAAAGCAATCGTCCACTCGGTCAAAAAAGCTCCATGGAAACCAGGGGATCAACCTCAAGCGGTTGAAGGACGTGATTGTCTTTTCTTCCAAGGGCAAATCGCCGCTTGCTGATCTTCTCTCTGGCGGTGATTATGACGGTGACAAGGCTTGGGTTTGCTGGGATCATCTCCTAGTTGCAGGCAAGGTTGCTCTTCAACAACTTCATGTTTCAACAATGAAAGGAAGAAGAATCTTGTCAATGAAGCATTTGAAATAGTGACAATCTCCTTGGCTAGATTGCAGTTTATGTAGACGAGTGCATGTCGCTACAGGATCAAATCATGACAGGACTTCAAGTGCTGACAATTGCAACTAGTCCCCTCGGAGGGGGTCAAAATTGCAGTGAAACGGTCGCACGTTGCATCATACGATTTCAACATCTGCGCGGGTCCATCTATCATCATCTGGCCTATTTATTGGATAGCACGAACATCCACTGATCTATGACTGGCTGCTCCGCAAGTATCGGACATTTTTCTCCTTGCCTGTGGACCATCCCTGAAGCTATTCCCGCCAAGACATCCCTGCCCCCGCAAAACGTCTACCTCGTTGACGATCAGAAACATCGCATCTCCCAGCGTCCTGGGAATAGACCCCCGGTTGTTTCCATCCAAAGTCAGTGACAGTGTCGCAAGAAACTCCCTCATGGTTTCTATTCTTGTCCTTTAATTCTATTCATATCCGTCACATCCATCAGACGTTCCGCCAATAGAGGTCGGCTTCCAAGCTTCTGTCACGCTTCCCCGGCGCTTCGAGTGATGACACCTGCATCTCGGCACATAACCAGCGCGCATCGGCGGTAGTAGAGTAGTGTTACTGTACCTTATTCATGAGGCGCTTCATGTTGGCAACCCAGCTTCTCTGATTGGGTATCCGAATCATCCACTCTCGGCCTCATTCGTTTTACCGATCAACGGCATCGAACTCGTCTTATTCTATCATCATCTCCAAGACCTGTCGAAAAAGCAATTCGTCTTCCATCATGTGATAGTTCCTACCATGACTTTTCTGTAGCCATCGAGGCGTCACAACGTTCCATTGGAACCCACAGGACAATGCTATTCTTAGGTATATCCCCCTTGTTTGCGGACCAAGTTGAGTAGGTAGAGATACGCAGGTTCGTCGTGACCTTGGTTTTATGGTAGACGGTAAACATCTCAAGGCACGTAGGCGAAAGACTACAACTCCACCCGTGTCATGGAAGTCCTGGAGGGCTGGCTCTGCTTTCTTTCAGGCTACGTGATAGCCCAGACATGCTTCAGGAATTAATGATCAGGGTTGTCTATGAAAAAGTAGTTGATATCAAATCCCATAGTGGCAAGTTCGTAGTCTAAATTTCACTATCTCACACAAAACAGGTGGCCCTGACAACTCAGTGAGACCCTTATCCCCTCACTGTATCACGGAAAGTTGTGGTTTCACTGCCGCACCCTTGCTGGAAGCATGGTATATCCCGAGACATCACGCGCTACCAACTTTTTTCTCGCAAACTTTAGCTACATTGTTGTCCGTGGCTGACTTCCTTCATTTTTGCCTCCCTCGTCCTGGGCAGGTATACAGGGATCAATGCAGCAGTATCCCTTCTCATCACATAAATGAGCTCAGAGATGCTGGACTACTGCTGCCAAGAAGCAACATGAAGCTATTTTTATGACCTCACAGGGAACACAAGGCCTCAAGGACAGAGTGCTGCTCGAGTGACCTTACGATTCCTGTTGAATGACGACACCACATCATTCAGTCGTCACCCGGGGATCCGGTTTGCATCACTTTGTATTCGTGGCCACGGCATGACCATACTCTCTAGGCTATCGGGGGAATTTCACTAGGGTCTCACTGTTTGTCTCTGGTCCTGACAAACTATAAGTAGAAGACTAGAACCCGTCTTCGACTGACTCACTTCTGTGTGGCTCACGGTTCTTTAGCCTGACGACAAACATGGTGCCTTCTAAGCTCATTGTCTCTCTCGGTCTTATTGCTCTGTCCGTTGGGCAGTGCCCCTTTTCTGACCCGGATCATTGCCTCGCAGCCCGGGATGAGCAAACCTCCCGTGAACATGTGGAAGAATACGAAGTCGACGATAGCAAGGGGTACCTGAGCTCTGATGTCGGTGGCCCCTTTGAGGATCAGGAGAGCCTCAAAGCTGGAGAGCGTGGCCCAAGCCTGCTGGAAGACTTTATCTTCCGTCAGAAGATCACCCATTTCGATCATGAGAGAGTATGTACCCCTTGAACTGAATGATGCTGTGGTACTGACTGTTTGATGCAGGTCCCCGAACGTGCTGTCCATGCCCGGGGTGCTGGTGCCTATGGAACGTTTACAAGCTACGGCGACTACAGTAACGTTACTGCGGCTTCGTTTCTCGGCTCTAAAGGAAAAAAGACCCCGACCTTTGTTCGCTTCTCGACCGTCGCGGGCTCGAGGGGCAGCGCAGATACTGCGCGTGATGTCCATGGGTTTGCGACCCGGTTGTAAGTGTGACGTCGGAGATAAAGTCCATATACTGAGCATCACAGCTACACCGACGAGGGTAACTTTGACATCGTTGGGAACAACATTCCTGTCTTCTTCATTCAGGATGCAATTCAATTTCCTGATCTCATCCACGCCGTTAAGCCCTCCCCTGACAGCGAGATCCCGCAAGCTGCTACAGCTCACGATTCAGCATGGGACTTTTTCAGCCAGCAGACCACAACCCTCCACACTCTATTCTGGGCAATGGCTGGCAATGGTATCCCCAGAAGTTATAGACACATGGTGAGTTAACCGACCCAGATCCGACTGCAAGATCTAACGCGGGTAGGATGGCTTCGGCGTGCACACCTTTCGCTTGGTGACGGATGACGGTGACACCAAGTTCGTCAAGTGGCACTGGAAGACCAAGCAAGGCAAGGCAAGCCTCGTGTGGGATGAAGCTCAGCACATCGCCGGCAAGAACGCTGACTACCACCGCGCCGACCTCTGGAACGCCATCGAGTCTGGTAACGGGCCTGAGTGGGAGCTCTGCGCGCAGATCTTTGACGAGGACCAGGCCCTCGCGTTTGGCTTTGACGTGCTCGATCCTACCAAGATCATTCCTGAGGAATATGTTCCCCTGCAGCGTCTCGGCGCCATGAAGCTGGACGCGAATCCAGTCAACTATTTCGCCGAGACGGAACAGATCATGGTATGTTTCACGCGATTTGCAACTTGAGACACTGTTGACCTTTATAGTTTCAACCCGGTCACATTGTACGCGGAATTGACTTCACTGAAGATCCTCTACTGCAAGGGCGAATCTTTTCATACCTCGATACCCAACTGAACCGTCACGGAGGCCCCAACTTTGAGCAGCTACCCATCAACAGACCTGTTTCACCTATTCACAATAACAACAGAGATGGGGCTGGACAGAACTTTATCCACAGAAATACGGCTGCATGTAAGACATCCCACCTACTCCTTCAGCAAAAATTAGCTGACAGTTTCAGACACCCCCAACACCCTCAACAAGGGATATCCTTTGCAGGCGAATCAGACTCAAGGCAAAGGCTTCTTCACTGCCCCTGGCCGAAAAGCCTCCGGTAACCTGGTGCGCGTGAGAGCATCCACCTTTGCAGATCACTGGAGTCAACCTCGGCTGTTCTACAACTCCTTGACAAAGGTCGAGCAGCAGTTCTTGATCAACGCGATCCGCTTTGAAACGAGCCACCTGAAATCTGAGGATGTCAAGAAGAACGTTCTCCGCCAGCTAAACAGGATCAGTCATGATATTGCGGTCAGGGTGGGTAAGGCGTTGGGTCTTGAAGCCCCTGACGCTGACTCGAAATACTATCACAACAACAAAACGGCGGGAATCTCTATTTTTGGGACCAAACTGCCCAACATCGCAACGCTGACAGTTGGAGTCTTGGCATCGACAGACTCGGACAACTCTATCAAGCAAGCCAAGGTCCTCAAAGATGCGCTTGCAAAGGACAAGGTGACGGTAACGATTGTGGGCCAAGTCCTCGGTGACGATGTTGAAATGACCTACACTGCTGCTGAAGCTGTTGGTTTTGATGCCCTCGTTGTCGCCAGCGGTGCTGAGTCGCTCTTCAATGGCAAGTGGTCGACTCTCTTCCCTCCTGGTAGACCTACCCAGATCATCGTCGACGGATATCACTGGGGAAAGCCGGTTGGCTTCATTGGAAGCGCAAGAGAGGCAGCCAAGGTAGCGGGTGTGAGCAAGGGAGATGGTGTATATCTGACAAGCGATGTGAACACCATCGTCGAGAATCTCAAGGATGGTCTGGCGACCTTTAGGTTTACTAACCGCTTTCCCCTGGACGACTAAGGTCCAAGAATAAATAGCTATTCTCAGCCAATCCTCTTCAACATTTCTTTAATTCGTGCGCAAAAGACATCTTGGTGTAATAGAAAGAGACCTTAGGCAAGGCATGACTCCTGTGAAGTTTCGCTTACTGTCGACTTTCTCACCCCGTTCTCAGTTGGCAAGCCGCTTTTAGACCTATATCGTTTACTTTTACCCCTGAAGAAATAGCATCCTTCTACCTTGGAGTTCCATTATGAATTGAGGGATTATCTAGACGTAAGAACTAGGCTCCTCTGTTTGGTCTATCCCCCCGGTTTTCGCCTTTCATCTGTTCTCAGCCGTGATGAAAGGAGATAACATTCAGCATTCCTTTAAGACTTCCTTAGTGTTAGTAAAGTCTCTTCAGTCTCCTCTCTAATAGGAATCCTAAAATGAGATAATGGCAATCAAGATAGAGCCTTGTTTTATGATGAGACGGGAAGATACTATGGTAAAGGTATACATGAATGTGCCCTTAGGCGCCTTCCATCTCAACATCCTTTTCCTCCCTCTCGCGGCGCTCTCGGGGATGGGGGAGGGGGGCGTCCTGCGAGCGTTCTCGGGATTGGGGAGTGGCGTCTTGTTGGGGAGTGTCATCTTGCTGGCGAGGGGGGGTGTCTTGCTGGATCCAGCCAGCAGTGCGCTCGATGCGCTTCATCTCCCTCTTGGACTATCATCGGTAGATATTAGCACGTTGACGATAGATAAGGAATAATGAATGGAAACTTACCACCTTGCCCCCGGTGGTGGAGGAGCCACCACCGCCGCCACGACCACGACCACCGCCACGACCACGACCGCCGTGGTAATTGTTGTTGTTGACAGTGATCTGTCCAGCACCGGAGAAGGTGTTGTTGTTCATTTTTTTTTTTTTTGACTGTGAATCATTAGCAAATCATCACTGAATAATCAAGATGGCCATATGCCAGAGCAAAGAGGAAAACAGTCAGAAGGGAGTCAAGAGGCGATATGTTGTGGCAAGGTAGGTAAGTAGAATCCCGCTGGAGGTTTGTGAATGCCCTCACGAGCAGGAAAGCGGCCACATTGGAACACAGAAACAGCGACAGCATAGTTGATGCTGGGGTCAAAGTAATCCCGTAAAGCGAGACAGGGGAAAGGAAAGCAAGTAAGGATGAAGGCATTCAGGGGGAATGAGGGCGAGGCAGCTTGGGGCAAGGGGTAGGAAGCGAAAAGGTAACTCACAGAAACCAGAATGATGATGACTGCCCGGGGAAGAAAAGAAGAAGAGGAGAGGCGGCCAGAGAATTTCGTTGTGTGCTGTGCGGCTAGGGTTAGACCTGATGATCCTTATGATGAGGTGGTCGCCGGGCAGTGCCAAACCTCAAGCGTCACAAAGCGGTAGACAGAGAAAGGAGGGGGACGAAGCGATGATGAAAAGAATGATGAAAAGGATGATGATGAAAGAAGAATGATGAAGGGCGATGAAAAGAATGATCTTGCAGGCACATTTATAGGTGAGGGGATCCTTCCTGACCTCCTCCCAGGTAGGCAGGTACCAGAATCCCCCCTTCCATCGTACCTTCCCAGCGAGGTAGGTAGGTAGTCGGGTTTTCGACGGATGATAACAGATGAAAGCCGAAACCCGGCTGGCGATGTCCTCAGGGATAAACTAAACAGAGGAGACCAGTTCTTGCGTCTAGATTATCGCTTGATTTAAAATGGAATTCCAAGGTAGGAGGATACTGAACTCCTTTCATCACGCATCGAGATGTCTTCTCTATGTACTGTGTTAGGTGCAAAACGGTTCATCAAAATTCTCCATTGCTTAACCTACATCGCCAATATCGTTCGTGGAAAAGAAGTGAGCATATCTCTCAAAAAGTCATGAGCATCATGGTTCCTAAACAAAAGATCCATCCCTCTCATCAAACAAGATCAGCTATCCAACTCCAAACGCCAACACCTCGCTATCAAGATGCCTCCCTCCTATCCGAGTAGAACTCCTACTTCCTCCTTGGCCTGCGCCTCCCATGCCCTGAGCAATATGTGGCCAATTCCCCTGCGGTACGCAACCTCACCAATGCGTTCGATCCACAGGACATTGACAATATCGATCATCTCGTCAGCGTCCATGTGCTCCTCGAACCGCTCAGTGTCAAAGACATGCGAGCCCCGCCTCTCTGTGGCTGTTGACACGGCAATGAACTCGAGGCGCTCCTCGCCGTCATAGTTGGATGACTGAACGCCCAGCCAGCCATCGTGCGCTCGGAACTGGCCTGCCCACTTGTTCGCCTTGCCCCAGATGTTTCCAACGGCAAGGGGCGGATTTGGCCGGTCGCGGTGAGCGAGCGTGGAGAGGAAATCAACCTCGAAATGACCCGTCGTTGTTCGGAAAGAGAGCATCGGCACGGGGTAGGCCTGTTCGCCCACGGGCGGTTCGTAGCTGTTGGTCTCGGGAGGATCCTCGACCGGGATGGGATACTTGAAGAGCGCCGACTCGTCGCTGTCGTGCTTGTAGTAGGAGCCGGTGCGGGACCAACCCGGGGGGAGGTCGGAAGTGGGGCTCCTCCGGCCCCGGAGCTCCCGGTACTGGAGACCCGTATTCATGAGAGGCACGGTAGCGGCCCGGTTCGTGAGGCTCCATGTGACGGTCGGCCTGATGCGGAACGGGTGCGCAGACTTGTACCGCTTTGATTCCTGGCCGCGTTTCCCCGAGCGGGCCTCCTCGACGTAATCTGCCGCGGCTCTCCATAGTGTCAAGTCGACTGGAATGTTGTCGAACCACCAGCCCATCCAGGACCAAGACGGGAGGAATGGTGGTTTCGGCAGGGCCCTTCGACGAATCGAGGCGTGGGGACGCCACAAGAGAGCGATGTCCAAAAACATTATAGGCATGCCGAAGACGAAGCCGCCTGGGAATGAGCGCGAAAGGACATGCGTGATGCCGGAAAACGCAGGCAGAGTATCGTCAACGTGGGTCAGCTTTCTCGCGCTGTAATCCATGACGATGCGAGCATACTCGTCGAGGTCGGGCCAAGGTGAGTGCTGGTAAGCGAAAATCGCGTCAGGGATGGTTCCCGTGCATCCTTGACGATTCCCCTTAAGCTTCTTCATAACACTATTTGGACTTCCCTGCCATGTCTCGCAGTGGCACTCCCAAGTCACGGCGTCCTCAAAGAAGAAGACGCAGCGCCGAGAGTAGAGACGTTCAACGAGTGTCCAGCCCCTCGAATACCAAGGCGAAGCCACCACCAGATCTTGATGGTTGTTGTTCCCTGGCCTCATGTTGCGTACAGAAGAACGTCTGGGGTTGAGGGAAACCAATCCAGAATTCACATCGCCAGAAGCTGCAACAATGGTGAGGTAGGCATTGGCAAAGACGTATGCCATGTGCTTGACATTGTCCTCCATCTCTTCCGGGCTATCCTGAACAATGCACAGCCGATCAATCCAGATGTGTCGAATGCCTAGCTTCTTAGCCAGCCACATGGCGTCGAGGAAGGTTTGCGGAATGTCAGTATTGGGCAAGGTCTCCTGGAAAGCTTCGACGTTGGACTGCAGTAGCTGAGTGTACATCTGGGGCGTGGTGTTGTGGCGCGGGCCCCAGACGTAGCTCAGAGCGAGGTACCGGTCCTTGGGCGTCCCCTTGACGAGGCGGCGTTCGACGACGTTGATGAGATATTTTGGGTGCCACGTAGTGACCTCAGTCTCAGAGGAGATGGCGCAATGGTGGTTGTGGTCGGCGCCGCAGGTGTCGAGCCACTCCTTGATGCGAGGGATAGGACTGCCTTTGACGACGGATGAAGCACGCCTCCCAATAGACGAGGCTACTGGCGGTAGGGGATTGTGGCCATGGCCATGGCCGTCCTTGTCGCCGCCGCGAGCAGCTCTAAAGGAGCCTAGGAGGCGGTCGGTAATGCTGTTGCGCTTGCTAGGTGGATGATCTCGAACGCGAGGTTCTCGAGGAATGACGCGGTCTTTCTCGCGATGCCTATCTCTGTCGCGATCTCTGTCCCTGTCCCTGTCCCTATTCCTATCACGGTCCCTATCTCTGTCTCTATCCATGTCCCTGTCTCGATCTCGGTCTCTGTCCCTGTCTCTATCCCGATTGCGGTCTCGATCATGATCTCTATCGCGGTCATGATCACGGTCATAGTCGCGATCAAGCTCCGTGTCTGAATCTCTGTCCAAGTCTCGGTCGCGGTCTCTATTCAAATCTCGGTCTCGGTCACGGTCCCGATCTCTGTCCCGCTCGCGGTCGCGGTCTCGCTCTGGAGAGTCGGCATCTCGGGGATCGCGAGAGTCGGGGTCGCGAGAGCGGCTCCCGTTGGGCATGGTCTCGGCAGGACAAGGACAAGCTAGGAGCGCATGCCAGAGTTGGCAAGTTCAGATCAGAGGTTCAAATAGTTGTCAAAGTGCCGCGCGGCGCGACAGTGAGGATCATGTTTGGGCTTGGACTTGGGCTGGGCTGATGGTCGTCATGTCGCAGTCGGTCAAGCCCCTCAGCTTTTTTGCGCAGGGTGCACAGCGCTTGAATCTGATTGGTTAGAAGTCGAGTGACCCAAACAATGGCCCAAGCGTCGTCATCCCAGCAACGGGCCGAAAGGGAGCTACTCTGGTGCTAAAGATTGCCATTGGCCATGTGCAAATGATCATCATAACAAGATCTACCAAATTGCGAATAGCTTCAAAGGTTTTGGATAGCATATCCAAAAGACTCACCCACGATTGATGCAAGCATGGATCCCTCTTTCTCCCCTTTCTCCCTCTTGCCCTCAATGGTTACATCCAGAGGACCCCTACCCCGCAGACACTGCCCCTCGTCTCCCCCGAAAATCAACCTTTGTCGCTGTTTACAAGTCTTACAAGGAAGTTGCCGCCTTTAGGGATCGCCGAAGTACCGCTTCTCGGGCCAAACCGTTACCTAAGGATTCAGCAATTAATGATCATTATGAAGCCTCGAATGGGGGTAAAATTTTCAAGAATTATCATAAATAAAGAAAATAAAGCATACTTATGACCATTTTTATACTTCCTGTTCTAAATATCGCCTTACATTTTCCTCAGAGTTTGATGGGACGAACACATAAAGTGAGCTCGATAGCGGGGGCAGTTCTGTCCTCCCTTGCAGATGTTCTCAGCAATCGGCGGTGAGACGAATATGCCCGCCTGACATAGACATGTGTCTCTTTTGTACGATATCAGGGCCAATCGTGGATTTTCACAGGCTATTTCCGATGAGTAGGTGTATCAGTCCAAATACCGGGGCTTATTGGCTGCTGCCAGCATCTCCAATGCATCCTAGCATGGCGTGTCTCCCAAGGAAGGGCGTTATGTGGTCATCGTCACTATTATCTGTCAAGCATGGAGCCTGATGGCATATTCTTTAAATGACGGGAAAGAGAGAGTCCTTTTGTATAGTAAATGGCCGCGACATGATGGCATCAACTTACAATCAGCCACCAATGTAAACAACAGTCGGAATCGGCCAGATGTCAAAGTAGATTCAGTGCCGAGCCTGTAGAACGTTGAGCTTAACACCTCAGCCAAGAAAAAAGCACAGTTGGCATTTAGGCAGTGATTCTCACAAAAATTTATGAATGAGGCTTTTCACTCAGACAAGTGTTTCTCTCGTTGCTTCAGATCGCTAACTCACCAACCATCACCCTCTCACCCCGGTCCCATCTGAAAGCTCTTGGCCATACTCAAATCACAATGACAGAAAATCTCATTGTTCTCCTCGTTGGAAAGGGTGCGCGGGAGCATGCCCTTGCTTGGAAGTTGAGCCAGGCGCCTTCAGTCAAAAAGGTGCTCGTCTTTCCTGGTAATGCGGGAACAGAAGGCCACGCCAAAGTCTCGAACCTCGAAACCAATTTCGAAGCAACAGACTACCGTCAACTCGCTGAGCTTGCGACAGAAATAGGAGTTGGCCTCGTTGTTGTTGGGCCTGATGACGCTGTCGTTGATGGCATTGAGGGCTTCTTCAAAGACGTGGGCATCCCATGTTTTGCTCCAACAAAAGAAGCGGCTGAGCTTGAGGGGTCCAAGATATTTGCCAAAGATTTCATGGCCAAGTACAACATTCCTACGGCCACATATCAGAACTTTGATGACATCGAGAGCGCAAAGGCCTACGTCCAGGGGGTAGAACATCGAGTTGTCATCAAAGCCGACGGTCTCGCCGCTGGAAAAGGGGTCGTGCTTCCTGAAACAAAGCAGGAGGCATTGTCTGAGCTCGACAGCATCATGAAGGCTGATGGAAAGTTTTCGGCTGCGGGCTCTTCGGTAGTGATTGAGGAGTTCATGGAGGGAGACGAGGTCAGCATTTTGACGTTTAGTGATGGCAAGACTTTCCGGTCTCTACCCCCGGGACAAGACCATAAGCGCGTCTTTGAGGGAAACAAGGGGCCAAACACTGGAGGCATGGGTGTCTACTCGCCAGTCCCTTTTGCGACTCAAGAGGTCCTAGATGAGATTGACAAGTCCATCCTACAACCCACTTTCGACGGACTTGAAAAGGAGGGTGAGGAAACATGAAACATACGGGCCATACAAAAGATGCTAATTCAATTTTCAGGGCGCCCCTTCGTTGGGCTTTTGTTTACAGGTGTCATGATCACGCCTCAAGGTCCCAAGGTCATCGAGTATAACGTGCGGTTTGGTGATCCAGAAACGCAGAGCGCCATGATGCTCCTCTCAGAAGATACAGACCTCGCTGCTGTTCTTCTCGCATGCACCTCAGGGACTCTTAGTCAAGTCAACTTGGGCATCCGGCCGGGATTCGCCTGCAACGTTGTGGTGGCGTCTCAGGGGTATCCGGGGAAGTATGCAACTGGTATGCCAGTCACCCTCCAGCCCTGCCCTAGGGAGGTTCAGATATTTCACGCTGGCACCTACAGAGATAAGGGCAACCACGATTGCTTGAGAACTGGTGGCGGGCGCGTCTTCTCTGTTGCGGCTTGGGGGAATACCCTCCAAGAAGCCGTGGAGGCCGCATACGAGGGTGCAAGATGTGTTCAATTTGAGGGCATGTTTTCGCGAAAGGACATTGCTTCCCGGTGAGTAGTTTCTCTTCTCAAGCACAATTTTTGGTTATACTCAATTGACTGGATGTTAGATGTCTACTAGGGTGTTGACGCCCCTATCCCTAATGCCCATTCGCGAATAGTAAATACTTGATTGGAGATTATGCCTTGGTAGAATTCCACAATAGAAATACCAGCTTCTGGAATCAAGTCTGTGCCTGGAAATGACAAGCCACTAAGTCAAGTCGGGGGTTGTGAACCCCCCTTGTTTCTTGAACCCCTCCCCCCCCCCCCTGGCCAGTGGATTAATTCGGTTGGGTGTTCAACTTCGATATTTTGTTCTTATGATCGAAACTAATCGGTGTGCCTTACCTTTGCTCCAAAGACCGGGAGGTCAGGAAACAAGGGGGTTCGCAACCCACCGGCTTCACTTATGAGTGCAAACCAGAACTCGGCCAGATTTTCCTGAACTGCGTTCTCAGTTGTATGACTAATAACCTTGTCAAAAGAGTGGGCCCAGACACATTCTCTAGATAAATGGGGCGCCCCAAAACGCTCGGAAATCCCGCAACTCCGCGCAGAGTTTGTGATCTCACATTGGACGACCTCTTTCAACAACAAGCCAGGTCGAATGGTGTAGCGGCCATCACGTTCGCCTCACATTGATACAGTGTGTTCGCGAAAGGTCCCGGGTTCGATCCCCGGTTCGACCTGTTTCTTTTGCCTCTTGTTGTTCAAGATAGGTGGGCGATTTTTTTGGTGTTTTTGGGATTTTTCCCCGCCACCACTGAGATTTCCCTCCTTGGAAGATCACATAACAAAACTAGAGCCTCTAGCTCTCGATTTATGCAAAAATGTGTACCCATAAAGTTTTCTGGGCTCTTTGTGTGGCGGATAATAACCCCTGTGCCATCTCGACCGCTTGGACTGCTCAACGGACCAGTCCCATTGTGAGATTTATGCACGCATGCATAAACTGCAACTCTGAACGCCTTCTGTAAGCATGAATTGTGCAATCAAATCCTCCTGTGCTGTCATGTCCAAGGTGAGACGCAGCAGGACTCGTTGTTTAACCACGACCACGACCCACGACCGCTCCCAGCAAAAAGAAATGGTACAGGATGCGAGGATTGAACTCGCGACCTCATCGGAACTTGCGTTGATTGCAACTGTGAACGATGCGTGATCTGGGAAGAATTAGTAACGTTGAATTGGATCTCGGAAGCTTCATTGACTTACAACCACTACACCAATCCTGCGATTTGTTGATGTTCCGCATTTCACTAAGGCATTATATTCCTCCTGGGAAACTCCACACGCATTAGCAACTCATCATGACCATTGAATGCGCTTCATTGGGTACCTTTTGATGTTACCAATCTTTAAGTTATCCTGTTATCACTGGCTGGCGCTGGACATAAGGTTGTGGGGTCAGCCCTTCGGGGCTGACCCCAGAACCGTTGCGCGTGGCCCCACTGACCATACTAAAAATACCACTTCTTAGAAAAGAAGAAGGTCCCCGATGGTTTGGGGCCGTTCCTGCATTTATTGCTTCTTAGGTAACTGAAGTTGGCTGGTATGTGTAAAAGAAGACACCCAAAGGTACATTTGATATGTGAAAGATGAGCTCTGTAACGAGGCAGGTAAGTCTGGTTCAGTTACGTTCACATATTCATCAACCATCGATACCGGCGAGAACATCAAATCAAATCATATAATGTCAGCGTTTCTCTAAAAGGGACATGATCGGTCCATGATTAGCGAGCCTTGCGCCTTCAAAGAATTATCCCTTCTCAAAGGACAACTCAAGGATTGGGTCTGACAGCTCAGTCCTCACCGAAGCGACCAAGCAACACCCTTACGAAAGCAAGGGCCGCCAAGATGTAAGGCCATATTTAATAGAAGCTGCTGCCGCAACATATGAGTTTTGTCCACTATGACGACTACGACTTACTTATATCTCCTTTGAGTAACTTCAAAAAGTCGTGTTTTTCGCCAGGAGCCACAGGTATTAACAAGTTGTCGGGCAGAGGGTCAGGGTACTACTCACCACACAGTGATGCTTTATGTCCCGCTCCTTGCCTTCTGAAAGTACATTCTAGCAATAGAAATCGACTTTGAATGGAGTGTCGTGGCGTTCGCCGCTGCATAAATTGCAATCAGCCTTATGATCCCAGGCTCAATCTTTCCGTGTCAACCCACCTCTCGAATACAGTCTCCCCTTGGCTTCCTCGAGCATGTCCAATATCACGCGTCCCTTACAAGATTCGGTATTGTCTCCAACTGAGAGTCACGGGTGTGGAGGGTAATGTGACCAATTCATGGAGATATCACAATTGACCTCAAAGAGCTCTCCGGGGCGGTCAAACATCTACAATATCACGGGCTAAATGATAACATCCCACTTGGGTCTCTGGACTGTTTTCCAGAAGTCACTCCTTCCCTTTGTTTCTTCAGGTAGTAAAATGCATAAACTAAAACAAGATAGATTTAGGGAGTCTTTGCCTTCGGTGCTTCATCGCGGCCCAAATTTGCTTGCCTCTGGATCTCTTTTCGATCAATTGAATACCTAGCTATAGTCCCAATCTCTTCAGCCCAAGCCAGGCCGTGTCGCATCCTTCGTTTGGACCCGCCTCTCCTACTCGTCAAAGAAACAATGAGTGTGGTACGGGAATCACGGCTTGTCGCCAGGAAATTTGCTCCATATGCTGATTTTCCGAGCTTTACCGTACGAAAGCCCAAACCCATTCTAAATAAAACCAAATTGGCGGTCTTATATCGTAGGCTTTTACGCATTTTGGGTGTTGTCTTCTTCTATAAGAAGGGCAGAGGTGCACCCAGAAGAGATGAAGTCGCCCGACCCGCCCCCATAATCATCTAGCTAGAATCTGGCGCGTGGCAATCTTGCTGCACATAAGCTAAGTGGGACACCATGGCCCTCAGCCATGTCAATCATAAGCCTAAGTCGGCTGCACCAACGATCAGTTAAACTTAATGAGGAGAGCCTCAATGGCCAAACTCAACGAGCTATCAAACTAAACATCTAGATATTAACGTTTGAATTAACAAATGACGGGCAGAGCTTACCTATTTGATCCATCGCAACTCGATCTTGGGCAATTGCTCATCTCACAGGCCCACTCACAACTTTTTGGCCAAGCTGCATGATGTATGTGGAAGCATGTTGGAGAAGTGCGACATGGCACGAACCACAGAGAACTCAGCGCCAAGTCACTTTCAATCTGATCCCTATTTCCCTGGCACGATAAACCCCGTTTTTAATTTCTAAAAAAGTCGGTTCATGAACTTTCCTCTTTTTGGCTTCAAATTGGGTTAGCTAAAACACTCGCAGTATCATCGTGTGGTGTTGGCTGACAGGGTCGGATACCGATCGTTGGGCAACCACATGCGCACAATTAATGCTTCAATGTAGAAGAAGCGATGGAAAGTCTTTGAAAGGAAATTAGAGTGTTCATCAGTGGGCTTGGCTAGCTGGCAGAGTGTATATTGCTCCGATGCATTGCCACCACCTACCTCCTTTCCAACTTACCTGGATGTATGTCTAAGCTATCTTGTGTAAATTGAAACCTCCCCATGCACCTCACTCAGATTATTTCAATGCAAGACATCCAGTTTTATTAAAAAAAATCGATGCTCGAACGCGCCAGCTTGTACACCCTCTAGGTGATCCGACATGGACGGACCATAAGGAAGGTCGCAGACACTGGCCAAAAGAGTCAACTACGCGTTGAACAGCATACCCATAGACTCTCAGGAGTACAGAGGCCATGTTTGGGGCCATGACCTCTGCGTTAGAACGTCGCCATGGCTCAGGTGCCTAAGGAACATGGGCTGAGCTAGAGGGGGAGCGAGGCGCTCCTTCCTTGAGATGAAAGACAGTACGCCTGAAGGGGAGCGAGGTGCTCCTTCCTCGACATGAAGGAAATCAAGCCCTGACCTAGAACGAAAATTTCGCCCACGAAATTTCGTGAGAGTTTCTCACCATCAATCAATCTCGTAAAGTGTTCGTTCGCGGAAGATTGTCGTCCCTGACGTATTTGCATCCACGAATTCCAGACCCCCTCCCGAGACTTACAGACGCCGATCCCAAGTGCAGCGTCTATTGACACCATGAACGGCTTCCAGAACACCAAGAGAAGCTCCGACAGCCAGGGCCAACCCGAGGCGAAGAAGGTGAAGACCGAAGAAGAGACTTCGGCAAGCAGCTCCAGCTTCCAAGGAGCATCGTCTGCTTTTGGTGAGCCACCTGGACTCTCCATTGCTGACTTTGAGAATGGCGATGCACTCCATCGCGTAGAAAACGCTCTGGTCGAGAGCGGCCTCGCCGACGAGATGGTGATCGACGAGGATGACGAGCAGGGCTTTGACGACTCCAGCCTTGCGGATCCAACCACTTTCTTCGAGGACTCGCAGGAGGTCCTCCTTTACCTGGCCCTGTTCCGTGACCAATGTAACTCTTGGTCTGAGATTCTTCTGAGTCTCTGTATCGGCCTACCGATGTGGGACTACCTAGAGTCCTAGCTGGCGCCCTACGTCTCTGAACCCTATCGGAGACTTCTCCTCTGCCAATGGTGACTGGGCAAGTCAAGACCTCGACATAGACGCCAAGTGGAACGACTTGGCCAAGAGGATTGTCGAACTATCGGGTAACAACATCGACATCCGAACACTGGTGAAACCATCAGGGCCACTGAATGCAGTCTTAACAGCTCAGTGGCATTACCCGGCGTGGACTACCCAACACCCACTCCACGGAATGACGATGGACGATACTGACCCATCGTTGCGTGCACAGCACGCCAAGTTCGAGTTTGATGCACATATCAAAACTCAAGATACTTACCCGATTAGGGAAGGTTTTGCTCGTGGTGGCATCAAGTGGGAAACCATCTACGATAATTGGTCTCAGATCAAGGAAGAGTGCCTCAAGTTCACTCGTTGGCTCAATCGACACTCGAAGATTATCCTCATCGTCGGCGATGAGAACTGTCGAGAATGGCGGGAATTTGTCCACCCTGATGAGACCGTCGAGGCCATTAAGATTGAGCTCGATATTAGCTTTCCGATATTTGGCGATAAACCTTGTTTCCAAATTATTCGGTCGAAGGCTACGAAGGAGATACAACAACTAGTACTATTCTCGTACCATTCTCAGTACTTCTTCTACCGAGATATTTCGATGCGCATACGCGCATATCACGACCTGCTCTGGAATGCGGTTTCCGAGTGGGCTGGTATCAGGCCAGCAAAGCCGTGCTTCTTCCTTCGACAGAGCGATGTCAAGCAGAATGCCGGCAACAACCCCAAGAAGCAAGCCGGCGACAAGTACGGATTCACCCAGCTGAATCTGGCGCGAAAACTGCGCCACCAGGAAAAGAGAACCGGGACTCTATTTCCCGACTTTGTTGTGCGGAGAGCCTTCCGCAAAACGATCAACAAGAACTTGATGCCAACGCAGCTGGCGATACGGACTAAGCTGCTGAAGTGGGATGAGCTGTCAAAGACACAGCAACGAACCTTCTTCAATACCTATGTCATCTGGTGGACCCCCTGGTGTTCCCTGGGTCTTCGATATGAGGGTGATGGTTGCCCCAACCCAGATGATTTCGACTATGCTGGGTCATATCACCCATGCGTCAACATGGAGAGGCGGTACCGAAGCGGCGAGAAGGAGGAGTTCTATGACCCCGAGGATATCAAGCCCGATGAAGCCCCTGAAGGCGGAGATTCCTAGACTGCTAACGCGTCTGGGAAGGTTTTCCGCGGACCGAGTTCTGCAGTTGAGTTGCTGCAGAGAACCGCTCAGAAGATGTCATGTTGCTCTATAACCCATGGGAATACTCATGTGGCTGGCCTCGACTATCACGTCGCTTCTTGCACGTCTTTGTTTTCTTTGGTGTGATGAAAGCAAATTTGCTCATCATCACTTCCAAATTTTGCACCAGTGGCCTCGAACATCGTGTTGCGTTTGAGCATGGCTAGGTTGTCCATTGCTTGTTGGCCTCGATGTATCGTGTGCGTTAATGGCCGTGGCTACTCAACGTGCGGTGCCGGTGGCCTCGAACGTCGTGTTGCGGTTGAGCATGGCTTGTCCATTGCTTGTTGGCCTCGGCATATCGTGTGCGAAGGGGGGGGGAGGTTGCTGTCATGGGCTCCGTTTTCGGAGCCTTGTGGGTTTTACTAACAGGTTCAGGATGTTTTCCTTTCGTGCCGCACAAGCGGCGAGGCGAGAGGTTGTCAAGTACCCATCACAAAGACCGGTTTAACAGACTTCCCAGACTTCAGCACCACGACGGTCACACATGGTCTACGTCTCAGCCTATGAATCGGTACCTCGGCCCAAAGAAAATCCCAAATCACCAAGAGCCAAGCAACCCCCTCTCGCCGCTATGTTCCGAATCACATCATCCACGTTCGAGCCACCTCCTTCAGGATGGGCAGGACGACTTGTTTGAGACGTCCTCTCGCCTATCGTGTTGCTCTTGCGCCAACATTCTTGTGCAGATGCTTTCTTCGCCAGGAGGAAGGCAGCCTACACGGAAGGCCGGGGCCATGCAGTAAACTCTCCCTGTTGGCATGTCAATGTCCGAGTTTCCCAATAAGCTGATGTTCCAAGGCTACCAACAACGAACAGGCACGACTGGCCCCATTCCATCTATCCAGTCACAATGTCTGGCGCCTACGGTTCCCAAGATGCGTGCCAGCAATCGTCAAGCACACCCTCACACCACAAGATTCGACTAGGTCTCCCCTGCTTCGCTACTGAGTTCATTACCATCAAATCCATAAGACGCTGAGTGGCAGTCACATTCGGCCTGAGGTTGTTTTCTCCTAATGCTGCGGTGTCAATCAGCTCCCTACGCAAAACATTTCAGATAACGGTCCGACACGAAGAAATACGGACAAAGGCATTACAGCTGACCACTTCGCAACGAGGCAGCTATTCTACACCACTTCAGGCGTGGCCTGGCAGATCCGGTCGGGAAACAACACAATTTCTTCGCGCCGTTGACCTTGCAAACCGAGCCTCTCACAACGTTGCCATCGCTAGTTCTGCCTCTATCACCTCCTCTGCAGTTGAGAGCGACCCATACACTTCCCGCGGCGGATCGAATAAACCAAAGAAGGACCCAAAAGAGAAGCCGCGACAGATCTTTGCTCTTTTTTTTTTTTTTTAGTTCACTTAATGGTCATACTCCTTTACAGCTTTTCTCAGGCTTCTACTAACAGCGAGATTAGGAGCGGGCAGCCCGATCTCGTGAAAACTCAACTACCTACACCACTGTCAACCCACTCAACCCATCTTCCAGGACAATGTTGTCCTCCCACAATAGAATCCTGTCGATACCTGCCACGTTTACGGTATTTCATAACAGTAAGTTTACCCTGCGCCATCTTGCTAGCTTCAGAACCCGCTTGTCGTGCTCCCAACACCTTCAGATGCCAGTCTCAATGCCAGAGGCGCCGGCACACTGCCAACTGCTCTTAAAAGCACGAATAGACGAGCCAAGGGTCGAGCAATCAGATATACGGCATGAAGAAAACTACCTCAAGTAACTAACAGGCATCCGGTGTCAAGTTCATGCATTCGATCAGGAGCCTCAACGACGTTCCTCAGATTCATTAGGGCATTACGTCGCCCCGAACTAGATGGCCATTCCGCCATATTACTAGACCATCAGCATTTTCCACTTGGATGCATCGTCGATGATACGCCATACCAGGGTCGGCAAAGAGCCAGGCGATATTTGGCAGACCGGTACCTTCTCAGAGGACCTTCCTCCGTGGCGACCCATCAACTCTGCTATCCACAGGTCTCGATCCAACGGGAGAAAGTAGCACCTACTTCAAGGCGCAGAATGGAGGAAGGCTTAAGTGTGTGTATCATCCTTTCCTACCCAGGGGAGCGGCTAGCGAGCAGCTCTGGGCCCGTTTCACGTGGCCTTTTTCTGACCTTGACATCATAGAAGATGCTACCGTGTGCGAAGGAGGCGGATGGGATTGCCATCGCCAGCCTCTGTCAATAGGGTGGCCATCGTTATGAGCCTTATCACCGCCGAGAGCACCACGAGAGGCTTCTGCCACCCCCAAGAGCTGTTTTGATCAGCCTGACGGCGGAGAGGTCAGAGACTGCTATCACGCGGCTGTCATATCAACCATCGCTAAGCAACCCATTGCTATGAGACGAAAAACGCCTATTGCAAGCCCATCGGATGTTCCTGCCAGCAGAGTCAACCAACTGACGTTACAACCACTCCCCTCTTATAACATAGTAAGAGAACGGGGAGGTTGGACGTCTACGAGAAAGAGGAGCCCGCAATTGTTGGTGAATCTTTGATGATAAACGAGCGACAGCTAATCCTGGAAGCAGATCACTCTGGCACAAGCCTTATCTACCTGTCGCCGTTCGTCCCACAACGGCCAAGGCAGGTCGGGCCTGGTAGCTCTCGCCGGGACAACCGGCCGTTTCGAGAAGCCTGCAAAGAGGACTAAGCCAAGTCAACGGTAGAATCAAGGTTGTTGCCATTGCTGGGGGAGAGGTTGATGTCATGGCTGGGAAGAGTTTGCTGTCATCGCTGGGGGGAGAGTTTGCTGTCATCGCTGGGGGGAGAGTTTGCTGTCATTTCTGGGGGGGGGTTGCTGTCATTGCTGGGGAGAGGTTGCTGTCATTTCTGGGGGGGGTTTGCTGTCATTGCTGGGGGGAGGTTGCTGTCATTGCTGGGGGAGAGTGTGCTGTAACGGGCCGGATCACGACATCACGAGTGAACGGAAGAGCTTTCTCACACCAGGAAAAGGCAGAGAGGGAATCAGGTAAGAAGGGGATCTAACGTTGGCAATAGTGCTAACAACACAAAGCAAGCCAGGCCCGCACTCGATCAGCATTTGCACTGGCTACAATTCAACCCGACAACCCAAGAGTCAAGACAGCCATCGACATCCGATCAAAGCAAACCACCTACACTCTAATGAGCCTACGCCTAGTGTCATTCGTTTCATGCCAACCGCCTGCCTTAACCTCAGCAACTGCAAGCCCGACACGTTAGCAGCGTCTGATTCAACGTCACATCTAAGCAACGTGTTACCTGCCGTTTTCCCTCGTTGCCCACTCCCGCTCTACAACAGGATTCTCAAAGATACGGATGCCAGCCTATATTACTACGTTGAGCATACGCCAGCAATAGCATCAGAAATGGCCAAACGTAGCCTGTGTCAGCATCTCTCACAACGATACTCAGATACAAACGTTCATTCGCCATGACAACTGTCGTCCCAGCAGCAGCCAAGCGAAGCTACTCGGTCTGGTTCACGACCTCATCCACATCAGCGTGCCTTTGTACATCCCGCTCCTTACCTTCAGAACCTCCAATATCCTGCACCCTGTAGGATACTAGGCTCTATCTACAACTGAGATTCACAGGCGCGGAGGGGATGATGGAGCATCACGTGACTGTGTACGGCCCATAGCCGTCACAAAACACCAAGAAGGCACCATCGACGAGGCGTCAATAAATCTATCTCTTAAATTGAGATAATTCAATCAATCCGCCTATGTGCTATTGGATTTTCAAGTTGAAAGATATCCCGACTTTAATTGGATTGATTTAAATTGAGCGCGGACCTGGTCTTGCGATATCGGCCAACTTGACATTTTGCTGTTCACCACAATCGTTGGCACATGATGAGAGAAGGATATGGATCTCACTCAAAACCATGTTTCCAGTATCGGAACTCATAGCTCTCGCTCTTACATAAGGAAAGCCATTCACTTTTAATGCCTACGGAGGTGAAACCTGACTTGAAGGGCTCATTACAGCCATTTCGGCGAGGCTTGAAACATCTCTCTCACTCAAAGAAACGACCATTAGCAACACGCATTTAATTACTTCAATTCCAGCATTCACATGAATTTTTCAAGTCCTGCGAGACAAAGTGAGAGCCATTTAAGCTCATTGACATCATGGACATGTAGCACAACGATCTGAAAACGCCAATACCCCACCTTGTCTGCAACTTTTTGGCCCAACTTTTTGATGAGCAGATTGTTACTTGACTCATCCCAGTTATAGACGACTTCAAGCTTCAACATGACACGCTTCCGTCCTTGTATTGACCTCCACGCCGGTCAGGTTAAGCAGATTGTCGGTGGAACTCTCGATAGTTCTTCGTCGGCCCTGCAGACAAACTTCGTCTCGCAACACCCTCCGGCTCACTTCGCCCAGCTGTACCGGGACAATGGGCTCTCAGGAGCCCACGTCATCATGCTAGGCCCAGGCAATGATGGCCCAGCAAAGGAGGCCCTTCAAGCTTGGCCAGGTGGTCTTCAAGTTGGAGGCGGTATCAATGACAAGAATGCAAAGGAGTGGATGGATGCAGGCGCGGAAAAGGTATGCCATCAGACCGATTCGCACAGAACAGCTGCTCACCCGACAGGTCATCATCACGTCCTATCTGTTTCCGGAGGGCCGCTTTAGTCAGGCAAGACTGGATGCGGTCCTGGAGGCGCTCGGCGGTGACAAGAGCAAGTTAGTCATTGACCTGAGCTGCCGTCGTCGCGGCGAAGATTCTTGGTTTGTGGCCATGAACAAATGGCAGACAATTACCGATATGGAAGTCAATCAAGGTATGTCTAGATTATGTCTGGATACATGTCTCAAAATATTGGCTGACCAAAGACAGAATCCATCAAGGCTCTGGAACCCTACTGCGCCGAGTTTCTGATCCACGCCGCCGACAACGAGGGTCTCCAAAAGGGCATCGACGAGAAGCTTGTGGAGCGGCTCTCCCAGTGGTGCACTATTCCGGTGACCTATGCCGGCGGTGGTCGACACCTTGAAGACCTAGAGGCCGTGAAGCGGCTCAGCAACGGCAAGGTGGATCTCACAATCGGGAGCGCATTGGACTGTTTTGGGGGTTCAGGGGTCAAGTTTGACGATTGCGTCGAGTGGAACAAGAGGCAAGGGAATTGAGGGAAAACAGCAAATCATTTATAGACGACCTTGACGATTGTCATTCACAAAGCCTCCACAGCAGGGCGTTGAAAGGTCTCGGGGGCGAGGCCGACAATGCGACCAGCTTGTGACGGCCGCATAAATACGACAATAAAAGTGCCAGCGAGCCAATGCAGGGTCCAATCTCGAGCCAGAGAATTTATATAAAATGTTCATGCGAAACCACATCAGACTCTGGCGTCCAGTCACGAGGATACTTTAGCTGCAGCAACACTGCTGATAGACGAGCCCGCCACACAAGCCCGCTTAAACATGGTAGGACCGAGTTTTACAATCCAGCGTGCGAGAGAAACAAACATTGATTGAGAAGCGTGTAGGGTGTGACGGTGTGGATATTGTTTGTCTGGGCCACACCCATGCCGGCAAAGAAGAGTCTAGTGCCGAGATGACCTCAACTGGCGCTCGGGAAGATCGAGATGCAAGACATGGCAAAGGCATCGTCTAAGACTAGCGGAGCCATCCATTGAGGAGTGGGGGATCTCGAGGTTTCTCAAGTTCCGGCAAGCTGGAAGAGAGATGGAGTGTATGTGTGTGATGTGAATGTGGGCACAAGATCAGGTCCAGTCCCATCAACATCAGCTCGCTCCCAACAAGACCCATCACAACGCAGTAAGCTTTCTGCATCTCCATGGGTGACTGAAAAGCAAAACGTCATGATGAGGAAGCTTAATTGGGCAACAACAACAAGTGTAAACACTGCGTAGCCCATGACCAAGGATCATGCCAGAATGGCCAACCAATAGGCCTGCCAGCGCGGCAGCTGGATGCGTTGCTGCCATGGCGACTACGGGGCCTGTGTAGCGCGGAGCCCAGCGCAGCCCAGTACCGCTGCGACGCTGGCTTTGGCGGAGGGCAGCTCTCTGCAGCGCCTGGAGGGGAGCCGCTGCAGCAGGGGCGGGGTAGGCCTTTTAGCATCCCGGCGCATTGTAACAGAAAGATTAGCGTCTCCAACGTCCGACTCTAGCTCGCCTCTTGCATCTGTTGCCCCGGCGACGCCTTCCGCACACAGCCCGTGTTTGTTTTCTTGTCATCCAATCAGCGCACTCTCCTGCCTGGCTAGACACCACTTCCCTTAAACACATCAACTCGCCATAGCACTCTCCCACCTGCGCATTTCTTGACAGCAACATATCGCTGATATTCAGTGTCGAGTCGGTCGTCGAGCCTTTGAGAGAGCCGTCGTCTGTTGACCTACACCAAGGGCGTGTTTCCTTCTTCAACAAACCGACCCCGTGTCGCCTTACTTACCTTGCCTTCGTTCTCCCACCCGGGCAGCTTCACGCCGAGTCGCGACATTCCCACCCTCTACATTTCTTTGTTTGTATTCCTCTCCGCATACCAATGCGTTGATAGTCCGCCACCAACACGACAAGACCATCAACCAACTGGTTTAGCATGGCCACTGAACAGGTATGTTGTCCCGCGCTAGCTGCCCTTCTTTGTCTCTGACCAAAACATGCACAGGTGCATCCTTTGCGCATCACCAAAAACACACCAAACACATCTCCCTCCAAGATGCCGAGCGGGATCCCTCGCCCGCTGTCGGAGCTCTCGCCGACCGAGATGCGGCGAAACTCCCCCAGCTGGCACAAGCCGTCCAACGGGTCTCCCAAGGTACGTTGTAAACATGTCTCTGCATTGTTTACATCTTGCTCACACGTGGCACAGAAGTCAGGAAACCCCGATTCTTCACCATTCCAGTCATCGCCGCTTGAGTCTGTGTCGTCCCCACGACTGTTTTGGCAGAACCGCAACTCGGAAAACTTCTATGGACGAGGAGGCTCCCCATCCCCAAACCGCCGCTCCTCGATCGAGCGTCTCCAGAGAGCTTCTCGAGTCAGGAACAGTAATATTCTGGCTCTTGAGCAGAAGCAGGAATATGATCCTACTCGGATTCCTCAGATTGAAAGACCCCTCGCTAAGGTCCAAGGGAACGCTTTCGGATCGACTGGCTCATTCCGAGCTTCCACAAACGAACGCCCATCTATCACCCACACCCGAAGCGAAAGCAAGACGAGCATTCCCACCATGAGCCCAACCAAATCTTCCATCCCCCAGTCTCTTGGATCACCGAACCGCCCCCTTACCCCGAGTCGAGACCAAGTATCGCCCACAAAGTCGTCTCTCTCACATCGATACAAGAGTAGCTTCGACATGGAGACGGGCACCTGGTCTGCGGACTCACCCGGCGACGACCATGAGCTGCCTCCGGGACGTTCGCTGCATCGTCATGCGAAGAGCGTGACTTTTGACGCTGCACCTCCCCAGATCAACGAATACGAGATGGCGACTCCTGATCTTTCATCCATTGGCACCAACTCTCGGGAAGGAAGTTATGAGTCTGACGACGACGATGATGACGACGTGCTCTACGACCCTGGGCACGTTGATCTTGAGGGTGATAGCTTCGATGCGTCGCTCGAGGACACGGATAAGACTCCTGTTGTTGGCCCTGACGACTGGAGAGGAGAGAGCCCCCTGGTGCACCGCGATGGACCTCGCGAATATGATGGCAGCCCTATGCCTGAAAACGCACCTTCTGTTGCATCTGCCGGCCGTCCAGCACACATCCGCACTGATTCTTGCACCTCCAGTGGCGAGCACCGGCCACTACCGCCTCTCCCTGGATTCATTAGCCACTCGCGCAACAACTCTGCCCCTTCCTCTCCCGCGTCACCTGGACTCTCAGCGACGGCAGAGCGGATGCTTGGTGCGCATAGAAATCTGCCGTCTCCCCCTCCTGCCTCTGCCACCAGCAAGTCCGACATCCACAATATTGGCAACACCAGAATGTCTCTGGAAGAGCGACTTCGACTTATGATGTTGTCTGACGACAATGATGGCAAGAGCGCCGCGGTGCAACAGCGCGAGCGACGCCTTCGTAGGGCTCATGGCCGTGAGCGACTGAGCAGCCCAATTTCCGAGCCTGAATCAACCAGGAGCATGACCGAGACCCTTGAGGGCGATGATGCTGACGCTGTTGGCGACATCTCTGCCCTGGAGGACTACCAGCTTCCTCCTCGCATCTCTCGTGATTCCATCATGCGCAAGGTCAACAATGGAACCAAGACTCCTGATCAGGACAAGGACTACATTTTCTCGTCTCCTCCTGGTTCGCGAAGCCCCAGCAGGAGCCCTGAGCGACAGATTCCTTTGGATCCTGATGTACCTATTCCATCCACCGAGGACTCTATGGACGAGCTCTCGGATGAGGAAGGTGGCAGTGTCATCATTACCCGACTTCCTGAGAATGAGATTGACTTCTACGAGGACTCCGACTTGGACTTTGACGAGGACGAGGAGCTCGAGGAGGACATGCTCCACGCACCTGTGGATACTGACAGCGAGAGCCACTACTCTGAGTCTGAACCGGCGCTGCCAACTCCAACTGCCGAGACCGCCAAGGCTGAAGAGGTTGTTGAGAAGGTGACCGAGAAGGTTGTTGTTGAAGAGGTTCGAGATGAAGTCACAACTCCTCGTGCCACCACCCCTACTCTGCCACGTGGTTTGGATGAATCTCTCCCATCCTTCAACTCAGATGGCAAGGATGCTTCATTCTCGCGAGACTTTGAGTCATACATGCTCCCTGAGCCCGAGCCACAACCTCAACAGGAAGAGTCTGTCAAGGAGGACAAGAAGGTCGAGCCAGAGGCTCCCAAGATGGCCGATGCCCATGCTTTCTTGCAAAGACCATTCACTCCTGAGCCACTTTCGAAGCCAGAGTATGATGGCACTGGATGGGGTGAGCCCGAGGATGAGTACGAGGACGGTCCCAGCACCCCAGAGTCGGTCATCCATCATCCCGTTCCCGCCGATGTATCTGAGGACGAGGAGCCCCAGGTGAAGATCTCGCCTGCTATTCCTGAGCGTTCCGCTACTATCAAGGCAACGGGTGGCTCAAAGCTCAAGACCCGACTCTCAAATACACCTTCCGACATTGCTTCGATGCGAGAAGCCCGTCGACAAGTCAGCATGGAGGTGCCCGTCGTCCCACCGATCCCGGACAAGCATAGCAAGCGATTGTCCAAGGACATTAACAGCGGTCTCTTGCTTACCGGCGATGAGTTTATCGAACGACACCCCAGTTTCAAGAACCGCAGCTTGACGTTGGATCTTGAGCTCGGACTCAGCCTAGACAAAGACTTTGAGAGAGTCATTGAGGCACAAAAGGTTGCTTTTAACGATTCCTATGTTCAACAATCCCTTCTCGATAATTACAGCCCCAGCAGACAAGCGTCTACTGCCACCAATCAACCTCAGACTAAAGAACTGAATGCTAACGTGACTCGTCGTCAGCGCGGCTACCTCATGCGACAAAACACGAAGCTTGTCACCGCCAGTGACAAGGACACGGACGAGCCTCGAGGCGCCCGATCGGCCGGTAACTCACCCGTTAAGCAGGATCGCCCCATGTCATGCATCGTCGAGCCCTGGAACAGCAAACCGCGCCCTAGGAGTGTGCGGAAGCGCGTGGGTGGTAGTATCGGCCCCGCTCCCCCACTGCCCGGACAGGAGAGCAATGCGACAGCAGTTACCCAGGCTCCCGAGGAAGACTTTGGTCTCGAGATGGCGACGCCAGACAGCGGAGAGAGAGGTCGTCTGTTTGTCAAGGTTATGGGTGTCAAGGACCTTGATCTTCCCCTTCCAAAGAGTAAGTTGCCACCCTTGAGCATTGAAAGACCATATCTAACAGAAGCAGATGAACGTACCTGGTTCAGCCTCACTCTGGACAACGGCGTGCACTGCGTGACGACCGCATGGCTTGAGTTGGCGCGGAACGCACCCATCGGCCAGGAGTTTGAGCTTGTTGTTCCCAACGACCTTGAGTTCCAGCTGACTCTCAACGTCAAGCTTGAGAAGCCAGTTGAGCGTGCTCGACCACCACCTCCTGCTGCCAAGGTGCACAAGCACAAGACGTCAACCTTCAGCAGAGTGTTTGCGTCACCCAAGAAGCGCAAGGAGCTGGAGCTCCGTCAGCGAGAGGAAGAGGAGCGCGCTCTGCAAATGCAAAGAGATGCACAAGTCAAGCAGCAGCGTACTGGTCCTCCCACAGCGTATGAGCTTCTATCGCCTCTAGCTGCGGAGGACGGCAGCTTCGCTAGGGCATATGTCTGCCTTCGAGAGCACGAGAACCGATGCTTTGGCCGGCCTTACATGGCCGAGGTTGCCTGCTTCAACGAGTGGGCCACCGAGGAGGCTGGATTCGCATCCAGCGTCAAGAGCAAGCGTGGAAACACAGCAGTTGTGCGTCGCGCTCCTTACAAGGTTGGCAAGCTTGAGCTCCAGCTTCTGTTCGTCCCCCGACCCAAGAACGCGACGGATGAGGATATGCCTAAGAGCATGAACTCGTGCATTCGAGAACTCAAGGCTGCTGAGGAGAGAATGTCCCGCAACTGGGAGGGTCATCTGAGCCAGCAAGGTGGCGATTGCCCTGTAAGTTATATGTCAAATCCCCATGACATTCAGAGCTAACATGAATCTAGTACTGGCGCCGTCGATATTTCAAGCTTGTTGGCACCAAGCTCACTGCTTACCATGAGGCGACCCGGCAGCCTCGAGCAACCATCAACCTGGCTAATGCCAAGCGGTTGATCGATGACCGTCGAGCGTTGACGGAGAAGGAGACAACGGGTAGAGGCGGTCGACGACGCCGCTCAGCCTTTGCGGAAGATGAAGAGGGCTACATGTTTGTTGAGGAGGGATTCCGTATCCGATTCAACAACGGCGAGCTCATCGACTTCTACGCAGATACGGCCGAAGACAAGGAAGGCTGGATGAAGGTGCTCGCCGACGTTGTCGGCCGCGACAGTCCTGAAGATGACCCCTCGGGCCCACGGGCAAGATCCAAGTGGTGCCAGCTGGTTCTTCGACGAGAAGAGCAACTGCGCCGACGGGCATCGGGACGCCGAGTGAACTCACGACCTAAGAGCATGTTCCTCTAAGACTATGATGCCCTGATATTGAGCGGTTACGACATGGACGAGCATGAGAAAAGGTGCTGAGCGCCAAACGAAAAACGACCAGCCTGAGCCAGGAGTTCAGGACCCACAGCAGACATGCCAGACAGACCTCTCTGCTCTTCTTCGCTTCTTCTGGATGGTATACAAGGTTAGGGGATTGATTGATTTCAGCATTGTTTGTGGTATTAATTTGATGAAGTATGCACAGTCCGAGTTAGTTTGGAGTCAGGCGAGCTGTGTTTGACCTTGGATGAGGATGGAAAGGGGGAGCATGGAGCCGTTTATGCACTTACAGGCGTCGGCAGGGATCAGGTTTCTTTTTTATTGTGTTTTACTGGTTTGTTGTTTTTTTGGGAGACACCCGGCGACTGCGCGTCTAGGAATTTCTGTTTGTAACATGAGGATTATAATGAATGTCTTAGAACGAAGAGAATGAGCAAAAGTGTTTGTGTCTAAGAGTTGATGATTGCTGTGATGGTGGTTGGGGTGGGCACGTGACTGAAGAACAAGATGTCCCTTGGCACATTCCTCATGCGAGCAATCCATGGGTGAAGAGTGACACGATCCACTTTGGGCTTGGAGTGGGGAGCTCGCCGAGGCGCAGCGTGATTTACAGTGGCTCAACCCTTGGAATACGACACCTACTACGTAGTACCCAGCCTGTAGCTTAGGTACCCGGACCCTCTGTGCTGCACAGGCATGGCATCCATAATACCCACCTACCTACTAGGGACGTACGTACACGGGCAGCTGAACTGAGCTGCCATCCATCTTACATACAACCTACAACCAACCTACGGCATCTTTTGCCCAAGTTGAAGCTCCCTCGTGAAACGACGCCGACTCTCGCTGCGCTTGCGTTCCCATCTCGTCATCTACTCGACCGACCCCTCCTCCGTCTTTCATCATGGCTGGCCGTTTTGTGCGGGCTTCCAAGTACCGTACGTGCCGTGTCCATGGGCGCAAACTCGCATAGGTTGCGTTGCGCCAAACACCCACATGCTGACGCCGCTCCCCAGGACACGTCTTTGGCAAGTCGACGAGAAAGGAATTCTGCTACGACAACATCCACATCAGCCGAAATGCTTGGGACACAAACTTGGTCAAGGTGCGTCTTTGCGCGCGCTCGTGAAGCGCTGCTGCCATCCATGGTTCCACCAGCTGATATAGGGGTGGTTGGGAATCACTATAGGTCAACCCCGAGTATCTCTCAGTCAATTGGGATGCATCTGGCGGCGGCGCATTCGCCGTTATCCCCCTGAACGAGCGAGGAAAAGTGCCCGACCAGATCCCGCTGTTTCGTGGACATACCGCTTCTGTTCTCGACACGGATTGGTATGCTTTTTCTCACCCCTGAGCTCGACCCCCGGACGAGGATGCTGACGTAGTCCGAGGAACCCTTTCAACGACAACATCATCGCATCTGCGTCGGAAGATGGCAAGGTCTTTATCTGGGAGGTCCCCCAGGGCTTTACTCTTCACACTGACGCCGAGGATATCGTCGATGTTGCGCCCGTGAGCAAGCTGGCTGGCCACTCGAGGTTCGTCCTTCTCAACAACCCCCCGCGCACGCACGAGATACTAACACCTTTCAAGAAAGGTCGGACAGGTCCTCTTCAACCCCTCGGCCGAGAACATCCTGGCGTCGGCGTCGGGCGACTTCACCGTCAAGATCTGGGACGTGGGCACGGGCCAGTCTCCCCTGGCGCTCCGGCACAACGACATCGTCCAGAGCCTGTCATGGAACGCCAGCGGCAGCATGCTCGTCACCACCTCGCGCGATAAGAAGATTCGGGTGTGGGATGTCCGACAGGAGAAGCCCGTCCACGAGGCCCCAGGCCACGGTGGCGCAAAGAACAGCCGCGCCGTCTGGATGGGCGAGCACAACCGCTTCGCCACCACCGGCTTCTCGAGGATGAGCGAGCGTCAAATAGCCCTGTGGGAGCCGGGCAGGAGTGAGCCCATCGGCGGCTTCACCATGCTGGACTCCATCTCTGGTGTCTGCATGCCTTTCTGGGGTATGTTTTTCGAGATTGTGGATGCGCCAGCTTCTAACGTCTGACAGATGATGGTTCAAACTGCCTGTACCTTGCTGGCAAGGGGTGAGTACTGTTATATACTCTTTGAGAGCGCTTCTAACAAACGTAGTGACGGCAACATTCGATACTTTGAGTATGAGAATGACAAGTTCGAGTTCCTCAGCGAGTACAAGTCTGGCGACCCTCAGCGCGGTATTGCCTTTATGCCCCGACGAGGCATCAACGTAGGTTTCTCCTTCATAGCTGCACTCTCACTCTTCTCACTCTTAAAAGGTGCACGAAAACGAGGTCATGAGAGCTTACAAGACCATCAACGACTCTTACGTTGAGCCCATCTCCTTCACTGTGCCGAGACGTGCCGAGACCTTCCAGGCCGACATCTTCCCTCCCGCCACTGGCATTCACCCTGCTGCCAGCGCCAAGGAGTGGCTCGACGGCAAGACTGGTATCCCTAACAAGATTGACCTCGAGAGTGTCTATGAGGGTGGTGCCCCCAAGGAGATTGCCTCTGACTACAAGCCCCCTGCTGCCACTCCCGCCCCCGTGGCTGAGAAGCCCGCGCCCAAGAAGGAGGAGCCTAAGAAGGAGGAGCCCAAGCCTGCTCCCGTTGTCCGATCTCCTCCTCCTACCATGAACGAGCAGAAGGGTTCCATCTCCGCCATGGCCTCCAAGTACCAGGACAACGAGGAGGAAGAGGACGACGAGGACGAGACCTCGAGCTTTGAGGAGGTCTCGCGCCCTGCTCAGCGTCAAGCCGCCCCTGTGGCCAAGTTCGTCCCTCCCACTCAGGCTCCCGCCACCACCACTCCCGCTGCCGCCGCGAAGCCAGCCTCCCCGATCAAGTCCCCCGTCTCCTCGGCCCCTCCCTCCCGCACCGTGTCATCCTCTGCTGCTCCTGCGCCCAGCAGCGGCGGCGACAGCTCGCTCGCCGAGATCAAGTCGCTCCTCGAGGGTCAGACCAAGCTCATCAGCGCCCAGAGCCAGCAGATCGGTCACCTGGCCGCCGAGGTCGAGGCGCTCAAGCGCAAGGTCAGCTCGGGCTCTCAGGACCAGAGCGAGCGCATCCGCCAGCTTGAGCTCGAGCTCGAGGAGGCCAGGTCCTGAGTTCAGGAACTGCCGATTTTTCTGCCGACTTGTTGAGCGGCTTGGAGATTTATCATGTTGGGTGGATTGTTGTAGCGAATATATGTATATAGGGTGTTCAAAAGGCTGCGTTTTGATGTCCCCATTGGATTTTTCCTGTGCTTTTCGTGATTGTTTCGGCTCGTGTGATTTTATGATATACCCTCGAGTCCTTGTTGCCCAGTTTGATCTAGCAAACTATAGGTAGACTTGACGCCGTGAAGATTTGAGTTGATCATGTTTATATATGCGCAGGGTTGAACTCTCGGACTCAGATCGAGTTATGATCGCTTTGCCCAGGCTTCACGGGTGAGATCGTTCTTATATCTTTTATCCGATATACGGGGCGATGAGAGTCGAGAATTGCTTCGCTTCCCCGCGAAACTTGTCGCACAATGTCTCAACCCACACGGCGATGGTTTGACAACTACCGACGCTAATCCTCATCTTTTCTTTTCATGATAGCCGAGTATCACTTTTACAGGCAGTACGCTTTCGAGTTGTAAAGACATAACTCGGTACCAAGGCGACGGGACAGGAGACAGTTAGCGTTGGCTCTGGTAATGTTTGGATGTGGATGGATCCATTGAGCCAAGTTTGTTTGTGGCCGGTTTCAATTACTTGCCGTTCGCTAATTATATGGTTTCTTTTTAAATACGCCACTAACCAACAAGTTGATCTCAAAGTTGTTGTTGGTTTTGACTATTAAGGTGATGGAGGGTTGTTGGTCCCTCTTCGATCTGTGACCAACTAACAACGTTAATTTCAACGTCAGTCTGATTTAACTACATAGTATAACAATGTCAAATAATGAAATGCCAGATCAACAGAACTACAGCAAAAGTGTTCACAGAGCTACAATGAAACAAGTAAAAGGCCGTTTCATCACAAAATAACCAACATTCGTTGCGTCGAGTCGCGCGTGAACATCTCATCTCGCTACCCTACACCACCAACAACAACATCCCGTACAAGATTTCGTCGACATCTGTCGCCATTACTCCAACATGACAGAGATCCATCTTGATTCAACGTGTCTACCCCCTCATGTTCCATCCAGTGTAACAGTAGCCGCGCTTTGGCACGCTCATGTCCCATCATGCGCTCCACCGTCGTGACTCTCACCGTCTACAGCCTGCCATCCAACCAGACACTACTGCAGGAACCTTTGCTGATAGATACGACCTTGCAAGTAAAGTTATTACCGGTGAGTGATGCTAAAAAATCGTCCATCTCTCGTCTGTTACACCACGGCTACGCGCCTGGCCCTTGCCATGGGCCTCTCCCACTCGGAGAATTCTCTATGTGGGCAAGCCCTATGAAACACGCCCCCTCAACCTCTCAGCGAAGCACACACTGTGAACGTAGATCAAACCTCGAGAGCTGAATCACGAATACCCACATACATCGAGTAGGTTGACAAGCTTGCCGGCCTTTGAGCCCATCCCACCCCCGCCCCTCACTTGACACTCCTCCAAGTGGCGACCCAGTCCAGCAACAAGGCGACGTGTGACGGACCTGCCGCCGGGCAGGCAGCCAGTCGGGGCAAGCAGGGTTGTGGGTTTACCGCTGGCAAGTCTTATGCCACGGCACCGGGGATGCTTGTTTGAGGAAGCTCTGCAAGTTGACCTGTTTCACAATAAGGGGGTCTCAATGGAACGTGCGGTCCAGGCTCGGATCCGTCTTTGGATCGAGGAAGTGTCCCGGCCGCTTGACAATGCAGCTGCGGCGGGGGTGGTCGAGCTAGATCACGATAGAGTGGCGCTGAAAAACAAGATGGCGAGGGCTTGCCGAGAAGGGTCCTGGTCGACGGTCACGATG